GCATTATCTCTTTAGAGGAATAATATCTTCTTTAAGAGAGGAGGTAGAAGAAATTCTTTGTTCCTATGATACTGACATATTATATCAATTTGATATTTAAAATAAAATTAATTAAATTTTTAGTTGCTACTAAATCTTTATATACCAGGGTTATTATCGTAATATGACGGATGATTTTAGAATGTTTTCTATATTCTTGTGATTTTCAGAATAGGAATGTGTAAATACAAAAATATTTTTAATAAAATGATTTTTATTTTTTTAAATTATTCGTTTTCAATAAATGACAATTCAGAACAAAAAAAATTATACAATCCCTATCACTGCGTATTAGCCATGAAGATCAGATATCCAATCGGATATTCAAGTTTCATAGCAAGAAGTAAGATTATATCATCTATATAGCATTATGAATATATTTTGAATAATGCATATTAAACTAATAAATAAGTAATATTTAATATTTATTATAATTAATATTATTAATGAAATTAGGTTAGAAATTTATAGTTCAATTAAAATTTATTTGTAAATAGTTTTGCCCAATTCAAAGAAAAATAATAAGGAAAATTACTTAACACATAAATGAATGAATATTTTCAAATTTTTTTTTATATCTTGAACTTAAATACTGCATAGATTATTCGATGATTTCTACTAATACTATATTTTATTAAGTTACTTTTTAGATCAACAATTTTACAGAAAAGCAAAATTTGAATGATTATTATATACATAATTATATATAATAAATAATAAATTAACAATAGTCGAAAAATATTTCAAGCTTAAAAATTCTGGTTTTTAGGCATAATTTGTAGAAATAAGTGAAATGCAATTTTTAAATCTGTTGATCTAAATAGAGTTACCTCTTTTTAAATATAATACAGGAATTCGATTATTTAAAATAAAAATTTATTAAAATAAATATTTAACAGAATGGGTTAAGCAAATTCATAAAATTTACAACAATCGAAAATGAATGTTCCCAAGATCAGTCAGCTATAATTTTGGAAATAATCTACAGATATCCGATATGGAGAAATTAGAATATTCAAGACATAGGATCAACATGCTGTAGCTGTTAAAGATCATATTTTTTAAGATGAAGAATAATGGAATTAATTCAAATTAATTTAAGAGAAACAAATGGGGAACGTAATCTATTAAAATACTTTAATTATAGAAGTCGAGTACACCTTTCTTAATTTAAATGATCGATTTATAACATGTTACAGAAAAAGAACTCTGCACTCAATTAACTTAAGCTCACAGTGTCTATGAATATTTTGATGAATATTTGGAACGAGTCATAAATGAATTAAGTGAAACTAAATAATATTTTGAAGAAATTGAAATAGTTGCTATGTTACATTGTACAGTAATAAACTGAATTCTAAAATTAGTTAATGGCACTATAAAGATTGAATGATCAGCAGAAACAACATGGGGACATAAGACCCTTGACAATAAGCGTGACATCATTCGCAAAAAGAAGTTAGTTTCGTTAGAATCATCCATTTCCAGTTTTTAAATTAACTGACATCCAAGAAATGACAGACATGAATTCTTATAGAAGATGCATAGCCAAATAACAGGGGTAGTATAACTTAAGTCCTGAATAATTATCATCGCTTAAACAAAAAGTCTTAAGGCCAAATGTTGACTAAAACAAATCAGATGTATTTTGCATCGGCTTAACAGCTCTATAAATGGCAACTTTGAGTTTCGTTTAGGACATCTATGATATCCCAAGCTATACTTTTAATATAGAAAAATTAGAAGATCATCTATATTTTCTGAAATCTTAATACAGCTCTGATTTATATGAAATTGTTGAATCCTTGCTTGTTATGGCACCTGATAATAGACCAAACCCGAAACAAGCTCATGAATTATTGCATAGATACAGATTTTAGTTGGAAGATTATTTTAGAGTAATATTATAAAATATATTAATGTTAGTTTTCTACTATTTCTGAATTCATACCAAACTATTCAATCGATTTCAAAGAATAGAGTGCTGGCTATGGGATTCAGAAGTAAAGGATTGTTGAATAATAATAATATGCATTGCAAAATTAAGATCCAAATAATTTGTACCATTAAGTTGAGGATCTAGATTAAAGAGCTAAAGTAGCTTTAAAAAGAAGTTAGGATGCTCAAATAAGATTCCAAAAGTCCCCTTAAAAGAAATTGAAAGTTCCTCTTCCTAATTGGGATCCAACTAAAAGCTTACAACAATACTAGAATTTATAACCAATTACATTATAGGAAATTCTTCCCTTGCAAAACAAACAAATGAATATTTAGAGTGATCAAATTATTATCTAGGATCCTCCTTCCAATAGACAATCTTTCTTTAAAAAATTAACAAACCCCTAATAATATTAATAGCATAATTTTAACGAGCATGAATAACTCATACATAATGATGATGAATATGCTTATAATCATTAAGAAATTGATGAATAGCCAAAGCAAAGTCTAGTCGAGTAAGTCGAGTTAACAAATTCCAATCTAAAAAATCTATAATAAAAACCTATAACGAATTAGTTTGATAATAACTAATTTTAACAGCAATCATTATTTCAATCAATTAACACCGATTAAAAGAAGTTCCCTTAACAATAATAGTAAATACAATAGCAAACCTATTCTTAATTTTAATAGCAATCCTACTAGTATTCAAATCAAGTTTAATCAAAGCAATTATAAAATATAGAATAGTAATCCTAAGCAAGATCATCCACTTACAATTACCCATCAAATTAAATAAATGAGAGCATACATGACCATCAAAGGTCTCCTTATGCCTTATAATAAAGACAGTCATTGGCTTTATCTCAAGACAAAGTGATTACTTAATAATTAACAGGATAATAAGTCGAGCAAACTCTATAAAATCTATAAAATAGATAATCCATTCGTCAAGATTCATTTGGAGTGGGATCTTAAAGACCACAACAACCATTAGTAGTTCCAAAATCTCCAGAGATAGAGCCTAAGAATATTTTCCCCTAATTTGAATAGGAAAAATAGCCTTAATATAATTAGAGATCTCCAATTTAGCCACTTGAGAGGATTGATGATGATGAGCAGGAGCCAAATTACAACCCACATTTAACAGAATCGAATGACTCTTAACAGGCAATATCGGTGCAGAGCAAACCTTAGAGCATGAGAGGCACCATGGTAGGTAGTTAAACACAGCTAAAGGTCCCTCCATCTGCTGCATCAAGACAGTAACGTCCAACTGTATAAACGTAGTCGAATACTTCATAGAAAAATATCTACAATCTTTCATAAAAGAAGAGTAGTAAAATAATAAAAAAATGAACTTTATTATATATTATATTAATTTATATTCATCAACTATTTTCGAATAATTAATTGTTACTGTTATTTTTAAATTATTAGGTATATTTAACAGTACTCAGAATAAAAATTAATTAGTAATAATATATTCGATGTTCTAAATTAAAACTTAAGTTTGATTTATTTTATTTCTTTTCTTCTAAATAAATATAAAATTATAAAATGGATAAATTGTATAGTTTTAAAGCTAAGTCTTAAGTTGGCCATATTAAATAAGTGATTAATTAAGAATAGAAACTATAATTTTACAGCGAAGAGGAAGGCGAAAGCACCAACTCTTAGGATAACACACCTAAAACAACTGTAAAAACAAAAGTGAAATCACCAATATAATAAAATGGGTATCAGACAGACGATTCAGATTCTGGAACACCCAAAAACCAAAAACCAAGAAGCAAGCAACCACAAGGTAGCATAATTGTATTTATATTAGCTGCTAAAATGTCGAGGTTCAGCAATTTAGTAAATACCAAGAAAATTGATGGGGATGTTGAGATCGAACCGGAGTTCAGTGATAATGAAAAAAAGCAATAGCCTGTTTAAGTACAATAGCAAGAGGGAAATTATAACATCGAGGAATAAGCTTAAAGAATCTAATAAAAACTAACTCAACAACCATAAAACCCAAAGCTAAATAAAACGAAGTACTTAGATTAGCTATAATTTAGACAAGCTGTCTCGATGTAGAATTTAAATGCTAATTCCGATAATGAGTAAAGTAAGAAGAATTCACAAAACAATGGAAAAGATAAATTGAGCAACCATCCTTTCAGACACCTTATCTTTGGTCCAAATATCAACGAATAGACATTCAAAAAACATCTAATTCTAACCCAACGAGGTTTAATTTATGCAAGAAAGTGTTTGAAAGGCCCATCTGATAAATTTATACAATCAAAGAAGGTGTAACTTTCAGAGGCTTATCCAAAGAAGGATCGGGCTCTGATACTAGACTTAGATGAAACCTTGATTCATTCATGCACCCAAAGAGAAAATCCTTAAGTCTATGTGACTGCTGTTGGAGATTTTGGAGAAGAAGCCAAAGTAAATTAATTGAATAATTTAGATCGGGATCAATATTCGGCCATATACTTCGCTGTTTCTTTAATAACTGTCTCAATATTATACAATATATATTTACACTGCTTCATCTCAAGCATATGCTCAAGCCATTATCAATTATTTGGATCCAACCAAACAATACATATCGGGAATTATGACACGAAATAATTGTATGGAAACCAAAAATGGCTTCTTTATTAAGGATCTTCGATTAATCAGCAACAAAGAACTTAAAGACATGCTCATTGTAGACAATTTGGCTCACTCTTTTGGGTTTCAAATTGAAAACGGAATCCCCATTCTGGAATGGCACAACGATCAAAATGATCAAGAATTAAAATATCTAATAGAATACTTGGTGTAAGCGACTAATTTTCCAGATCTTAGAGAATATAACACAAAAAAGCTAAGACTAGATGATTTAATGGAGTTTCATATTGAAGAATGAGGTATTTTACATTGAACCATTTAATTTTATTTAGTGTTTTCCAAAAGTTTTCCTCTATTAAAAAATAAAGTATATTTCACTATAGAATAAATAAATTTATAATTAAATAAAAATGTTATTTTTATTACTCATTTTGTAAATCAATGCAATTGAATTCAATTAATCATTAGGAAAAAGGGAGATCACTTGTTTTGGTGATAGTCTCACTGAAGGCCTTACAGTTATAGGGGAAATTAGCAGCACAATAAAAGACTTTAGCATTAAGATATATGTATGATTTTTGACTCTATTCGAAGAATCCGATGAGATTCAAAAAAGAAGGCTATTTACATTAGAGTCAAAATGAATTAATACAACAATTTAAATTTAAAGTGAAATATAACCACAATATTCAAATATGTATATAAAATTTAAGCACGTCAACTATTTTATATTCATTAAAATACTCTTAAGATAATGAAGAATAATCTTAAAAAATTGATACCTAATTGCCAATGACTCAATTACAGCCTATTGAAAATCTTATGGCTTAGATGAAAATCTCTTATGATATCATAAAGGTAGTTCATTTTTGATAAAATAATAGGGGATGTTCTCAAGTTTATCAGAAAGATAAGATCAGAGACTCCAACAATTACAGCAATTGGGATACAGAATAGTAATCTCATCAATTGTTCTGCTCTTAGTAACAGTCTTAATAACCGTATTTGGAACTTATAGATATAAAAAAGTGATGAAAAGTAAAAAAATGATTTGAATGTCTTCTTAATTAATTTCTAAATTATTTGATTATGTAGATAATAATAATAAAGTATTATTGAAAAAGAATTTAACAAATATTTATATTAAAATTTATAATTATGGAAATCATAGAGGAGGATACTTGGGTCTGCTTAGAAGATAACAGAAATGAATCCAAAATTGTTAAAGTCAATGAGAAAAAGTAATTAATTGATCTAAAATATTAGAATGGTAGGTTGGAGAAAACACAAATTTGATATTGGTGTACTTCTTCATAAACAATATAATACCTTTTGGAAAGTGGATAAGACAAATGCAGTCGTAGAAATATCTTCAGATTAATTTTATGATAACACTGAATTAGACAATTAAATTGAAGATGCCAATATTGAAATCACTAAAACAAATAAAGATCTTTTTGATTTTAATGATTCTTAAAAGTTAACATAGGAAGAGATACTTTCATTAAAAAAATAGAAAGAAGGTGAAGAGATAGTCGATGAAGTCATTCAAAATAGCAAGACTTTTGAATAAAAAACTGAATTTTCTAAGGCTAAGTATTTAAAGAGAAAGAAGGAAAAGTACATTTGCTGTTTTATGGTTTTGAAAACAACAATCGAGAATATTCACAAGACTCAATTTTTAGAATCTCCTCAAAAACTTAAGTAAAAACTTAAATAAAATAAAATAGTTTTATGAGAGTCGACAGTTTGGCATTCTTCATGTAATTATCAAGTATTACTCCGAATTCAAATATTCTGATGTTTGACAATGCTAATGTATTATAATTTCATGTTATTTAGGGTGTTGCAGTTTCAGCTGTAGCAGAGAGACTAGATGGCGAAGGATCGATTTCAACTGTCTTTTGGAATCACACAAAATCAAATCTTAGGGACTATTGGCCAATTTAACAAATGAATTTCAATGAGGAAATTCTTAAGAGTATAAAACTAATTAAAAATCTGGAGGATATTGAGAAAAACCAAAACAAATATACTCAGTATGATTAATAAATAGAATAGTCTTTTGATAGCTGGAGAGTTCAAATTCACAGAAATATTTGAAAAATACCTGAATTTAATAGCAGTGGGGGGAATAATTGTTGTATTCAGTACATATTTGGAGAAATTACATGAGGTAGCTGAATAACTGCTATCATCGGGTCTCTGCAGTAAAATCGATGTTTTGGATAGTTTTCTGAGATATCATTAAGTTTTGGAAAATCGAACTCATCCAAAAGTTGAAATGAATGCATTTGGAGGCTATTTATTACAAACATACAAATTAAAATGAGTACAAATATTACATATTATTAAATCATCATTTTTATTTATGGTGGGTCCAGAGGAAGCCTTGAAAACATAAGAGTATAAAGCTTATCGTTGGCGTTGGTTAGTCTTATTCGCATTTTGCACATTTACGTACATTTTCCATGTGAAATAGCTTCTCAAATGCACTCGGATTTGTCTAATATTCCCCTATTCTTTCTCTTGCAGCCGAATATTATGGCGTAACTGACTAAGACATCGTGTGGTTTAGCAATTGCTACTACATTACATACGTAGTATTTTGTCCGTTTACAATACGTCCATTGGAAAAGAGACTAGACTTGTCCTTATTCCTTGCTGCCTTTGTGACAACCTTAGGTATTAAGTACTGAAAACTGATTTAGGCTAATGGTTTATCTACATAGCTCAATAAACCTATTCTTTTGCTTTAGTAGGGTTTATTTTAATAGGGATGGGTTAGATTTTTATTTTAGCAGCACCAGCATGTAAATATGCTTGATATATGTTATAGATATCTCCGACAGATGGTTCCCCATGCATGAGAGAACTGTATCTACAAGTTTAGGTAGTTTTTTCAATTTGGTTGGATTAAATTTTTCGATTGTTTATGCATCTATCACATTTTAAAATGTGACTGATCATAATGAGATAGTCGACTAAATAGATTTCATGAATTTATTATTTGCTATATTTACTTCGTTGGCCTTTATATTTTGTGTAACTATGATTAGGAACAAGCCAGCCACTCCTCCATCGATATCAGCTGTAATACTATTAACAAATGATAGGCATCTGAAAAAATGCTGATACTGCCATCTTTTAAAAGGGCATTCAGAAGTTTTGAATCAATAATGGATTTGCTAACATTTTCCATGTTCATAGGTGTATCTTGGGCCTATATGGTTGTGATTGCAATTCTCTTGGCTCCTTTCAATTATACAACAGAACAAATAGGTTATGTGAGTATTGTCTACGCAGCTACTGGAGCAGTAGGCGGAACTCTGGCTAGTATATATGTCGACTATCAAATAAAAAATAACTCAAAGCCTCATTATGATTATTTAATAAAAGGGTTTTTGACAATAGGAGTGGCTGGGATCTTGATAAAGGCATTGATCATCAATTATGTTAATGACACTGTGATTGTTGTGTTATCTGGGATCATTGGCTTTGGGCTAAATTCATTCCTTCCCTTGGCTTTGCAATGCTACATAGAAAAGCTATTCCCTTCATTTGAGTTAGTATTAACCACTGCGATAATGCAAATGTCAAATGTATAATGTTCATCATTAATTCAAAGTTATTTGGTTTTATTCTGAATTACATTTTGATTCTGGAGGTGTTCCTGGATGTTGGATTGTGGGTCATTTTGGTGGCAATGGGACCATTTTACCTGTATTTGATATTTGGATACAAGACGAAGTTCCTCCGTTTGGAAATGGAATAATAAGCAGCTGCTGCTTGATTTCCATGTTTGTTTTTCTTAACAATTGTTATCTAATTTATATATAATTTTATCACGCAATATTCATATAATTAATGTTGGTTTATAATTCGAGTTTCGATGAGTTTATGCTAAAAGCAAAAGATAATTCGTCAGAGGTTCATTTTCATCTATTATTCGAAGAAACAACAATACAAAATATATAAATAAAGGTGGCTCGTATTATTGGCATTTTGTGCATTTACGTAATCAATCAAATTTTAAGTTCAGATTTTGCAATGCCTTAGGGTTTGTACAATACACTCCTATTTTAAAAATGGCAGCCTCCTATTATGATGTAGATGAGGATGGTGTGGCCTGGTTTAGCATTTGTTATTACATAACCTATTTTCTACTTGCGCCATTTAGTATTAAACCAATGGATATTAGACTTGATTACTCTTTGTTTTTGGCTGCATTTTTAACTTCATCGGGTAGTCAAATGCTTATATCTAAGGTCAATGGACAATATATTTGGCTCATCAAAACTACGCAATAGCTATGATAGGATTCGTTTTGATCGGAATAGGTTAAATATTCATTTTAGCAGCTCCGGCATGTAATTCATCCTCTTAATTAAATGAATAGATATTTCAGACAGGTGGTTTCCGGTTCACGAGAGAACTGTATCAACTTGTTTGGGAAGCTTCTTGAATTTGGTAGGATTAAACTTTTCGATTTTCTATTCCTCCATCACTTTCGAAGAACTTTCGAATAAACAAGATGAAATCATTAAGGAAATAGACTTTATGAATCTGCTCTACTCTATAATGAATACTGTTGCGTTCGTCTTGTGTTTATTAATGATCAAAAATAAACCACTTTCTCCTCCTTCTTTTTCAGCTGTAAATATTTATCTAAATTATTTTGGCTTCAGAAAAAATGCTTATAATGAAATCATTCAAAAGGGCTTTTAGGAATCTTGAATCTATTTTGGATTTATTCTCAATGTCCATGTTTATAGGGGCTGCTTGGGCCTACATGGTCGTTGTTGCTATCCTATTAGAACCATTTGGCTATTCTCAGAAGGAAATTGGATATGTGAGTATCGTTTATTGCGCTACAGGTACCATCGGGGGAACTATTGCAAGTTTATATATTGATTATCAATTAAAATTGAACATCAAGCCTCATTATGATATACTCAATAAAGCTTTCATGACTATTGGAATGGCAGGAATCCTAGTCAAAGTCTTGCTGATAGATGTAGTCAATGATACTTGGATAATCATATTTTCAGGAGCCATTGGTTTTGGTTTGAATTCATTTCTGCCATTAGCTATCCAATGCTACGTTGAGAAGATGTTCCCTTGTTTCGAATTGGTCTTAACTACAGTAATGATGTAGGTTTCAAATGTACTATTTATTTTGATTCCTAGCTTCTCGGCTTCATTTTGAATTACATTCTTTTTCTAGAGGTATTTCATGATTGCGGCCTTTGGGTAATTCTAATTATACTGGCTCCATTTTATTTATACATCATTTTCTTTTTCAAGACCAAATTTAGAAGATTTGAATCTGAACAAGTTAAACAATCTTGAAACATTATCAAAAAGCAAATTAAATATGTATATTCTTATAATTTATAAATATTAAAAACACTCATGTCAATCTTAAATCAAAAAAATAACATTATTTATAAAGATGATTGATGAAAAATAATCTCAGATTTTATAAGTAATCTATTTTGAATCAGTTAAATTAAATGAACATATGGTTGAATTTATATATTTGTTAAGTATAAAGAAGTCAAATTTAAAAATTAAACGTTAAAAACACAAACGATTAAAACAATATTGAAAAAAAACTCAGAGCTTTTGCAATTGTTGGATGATATTAACTAAATCCTCCTTTTCTTTGATATGTTTACAAATTTCATTCTGATATTGCTACAACAATGAATTCGTCCTTTGCACTATCTCCTATAACTAAACAATAGTTTATCTATCCTTTTCTCTAGTTGATAACAACTATGTAGTTTCATTTTGCGATTTCCTCTTGATGGTTTCTTTGTTAGCACTTCTCATTCTCGGTTTTATGCTGCTCGTCATTGTTGAATTTTATGACAATGTTGCTTTTTTAAAGAAGTTGTTCTGAATGGTTGCTTATTGGTTGGGAGTGTAAGCTGCACTCAAGTCCTTTAAGTATTATTAAGAAAAGCTCTCATGAATAAGCATCTATGAGTAAACTTTAGGTTGAAGCACTTTATTCTGTGGACCCACCTTAAGCAATTACTATAAACCTTGCACTACAATTGATTCAAAGTGTCATACTTGAAATTTTATTAGTTAAATGCTTAGAGGATATTTGATTTTTTCCAGCACTTTCAATCTGTGAACTTGTAAATCTTCTATGAAAATTTAATGGTTTTTATTTTTCTGGTTCAGGACTAATTGTTTCCTTGCGTAACTAATCTTTCATAAATTAAGGGATATCTATTTTAGTATTCATAAAAATAAACAATTTAATTAATGAAAAAGGGAGCACCAAAATATTAAAACAAGGTTGCATTCAAAATGAGATTTCATGACCACTACTCAGAGAAGGTTTAGAATGCCTCTCTAGATAGGTATACTTTTAACATTAAATTAGATTATGCGAATTGTGTTTGGCTTAGATTGAATGGAAAATTAAATATGGCAAATACAAGACTCCCCATGATTTATCAAGATGCTACAAATGCGAAAAGAAAAACATCTTTAAGGCTTACAGAAGATTATGTGATGCCTGTTCTGATGAATTGAGATAATGCTCTAAATGCGCAGAACCTATTGAATTAAATGATGACAGTTCAAGTGGTGAAGAAATGGATGAAACACTAAAATGTTTAAGAGAGAGATCAAAAAGAACTGTTCTTAGAAAAATTGAAAAAGGTAAATTCTTTTAAATATTAATAGGTGAAATAACATGGGATAGACATAATAAAAAGTTTATTGACTCAGAAACTGGAGAATAAGTCATAGTTTAATACAAAAAAGATTATATTGATGAAGAAGATGAAGAATTATGGGAAGATAATGATAATGATGAAGGTGAGGATGATGATTAAGATGATGATGAGGATGATGAAAGTGAAGAAGAAGATAATAAAAAAAAGAATAAAAAAAATGTTTAAATTCAACAACAATAAAAAGTTACTTAGAAAAAAACAGAATAATCAAAAAAACCAAAAGCTAAAAAAGTTGAATCTAGTGAAGATGATGATGACTCTATTAGTGATGATTCAGATGAGGAAAACTAATTCAATCAAATTTAACAATTACATCAAAAAGACCCTTCTGTTTATTCAGATGGATCAAATGAATAAGAAAAAATCATCAGAAGAGAGAAAAACTTTAGATTTTATTTTGATGAATAATATCAGCTAATTTAGGATGAATGAATTAACAAACTTCATATTTTTGTGCTTTATTCATTTATTTTCAATATTCTTATTCTTTATGTCTCCTGATCTTCATGGTTATTCATTATCTATTTAGAATGACAATGAAAATAAGAGAATATTATTTAATTTAAATGAAAAAAGTATTATTTTTCAAAATTCTTTATAGATTGAAACAAAAATTATACAAGATACTCTACAAGATCTACCTTTTCATCAGACATTTGATTTCTGTTGCTTTATAAAGTCCTGCCTCCTAAACTAATTTTTAGATTAAACAATACTTTATCAACTTTTATATATTTACTTCTCTTCTTCTCTACTCTATTTAAGTTAAATATTCTCTCATTCTCAAATCCGTAATAGACATCCCCTTAATTCTAATGACATTTTGTGTAATATCTATAAATATCACTTTTCTTTAGGTAAAAACAATAATATTATTGATAAGATATAAACTCTTCTAATCCAAATCGAGTGTACTTGTGAGGTATTTAAGACATTAGACCTTTTTGTTAAACTATCTTGTACCTTTCCAATACATTTTCAATGTTGTACCATTAACTAAAGTTATTGTATATTTATATTTTCTCAAATTCTGGTAATAATGTAAAATGAATATGTGTAAACGATCGTTTTTTCTATTTAATTGTATTAATTTAATCTAAAAGGTCATTAAATCTATCAGATGCTATTTGATCTATTTGTTGTTCTTCAATCATTATTCTTTATGTGATCGCTCCAATTGATCTTTTGGAACTCAAAGGAGAATCGATATTCATGTTTAACAAATCAAATTTTTTTTTGTTTTTATTATTAAAATAAGTGTTTTTGAGAGCTGCCATCAGTCTCGATGGTTATTTGTCATTTTTATATAAATCTTCAAAATCAACGTCGTAATAGTCAACAAAAAATGAATTTCTGGGTCCTTTAGAATTAACATAGGTTTATCTTCTGGAATTTATTTATAAGAATCTTCTTTAGGATTATTGGATTTAGTAGGAAGAGGATCTTGCATTAAAATCGATTCTATCTTTCCTGATATAGGAAGCCTAATATACTCTATAATATTGATGTAAAAATGATAAAAAGTGAGGAGCGTTACTATTATAGTTAGAATAATTACACTTAAAAATGTAATACTGGGCATTCCTTAGCAAGATGATCATCCATTTAGCAAACATAACATCTTACTTATATAAAACTATAATCCTTTTCAAATAAAATAGAATTTCGAATATTAAAATATTGTTATAAATCTCTTGGATAAATTTTTGCAATCTCTAAGTATTTACTTTGATTTAAGATAAAAATGTGAGAAAACTATTTACTTTAAGCACTAGCAGATCTTACTTAATTTGTAAAGAAACTGATTTCTCCAAAGTAATCATATTTAGTTTTATTATCAATTACAATATTCGTTTTCATAAAATATATACTGACCTCTCCTTTTTAAATTAAGAATAAATCATAATTAGTAGAAGGAATTTCATTAAAAATGACTTCCTCCGGTAAATATAATTTATCCTCTAAAATTGGAATGATTCCTTCTACCAAAAATTTATATGAATGAAACTACCAGAATATATCAATATGTCCAAATAATTTGCCATTCACCTACTCCAAAATGTCNATCAACTTTTATATATTTACTTCTCTTCTTCTCTACTCTATTTAAGTTAAATATTCTCTCATTCTCAAATCCGTAATAGACATCCCCTTAATTCTAATGACATTTTGTGTAATATCTATAAATATCACTTTTCTTTAGGTAAAAACAATAATATTATTGATAAGATATAAACTCTTCTAATCCAAATCGAGTGTACTTGTGAGGTATTTAAGACATTAGACCTTTTTGTTAAACTATCTTGTACCTTTCCAATACATTTTCAATGTTGTACCATTAACTAAAGTTATTGTATATTTATATTTTCTCAAATTCTGGTAATAATGTAAAATGAATATGTGTAAACGATCGTTTTTTCTATTTAATTGTATTAATTTAATCTAAAAGGTCATTAAATCTATCAGATGCTATTTGATCTATTTGTTGTTCTTCAATCATTATTCTTTATGTGATCGCTCCAATTGATCTTTTGGAACTCAAAGGAGAATCGATATTCATGTTTAACAAATCAAATTTTTTTTTGTTTTTATTATTAAAATAAGTGTTTTTGAGAGCTGCCATCAGTCTCGATGGTTATTTGTCATTTTTATATAAATCTTCAAAATCAACGTCGTAATAGTCAACAAAAAATGAATTTCTGGGTCCTTTAGAATTAACATAGGTTTATCTTCTGGAATTTATTTATAAGAATCTTCTTTAGGATTATTGGATTTAGTAGGAAGAGGATCTTGCATTAAAATCGATTCTATCTTTCCTGATATAGGAAGCCTAATATACTCTATAATATTGATGTAAAAATGATAAAAAGTGAGGAGCGTTACTATTATAGTTAGAATAATTACACTTAAAAATGTAATACTGGGCATTCCTTAGCAAGATGATCATCCATTTAGCAAACATAACATCTTACTTATATAAAACTATAATCCTTTTCAAATAAAATAGAATTTCGAATATTAAAATATTGTTATAAATCTCTTGGATAAATTTTTGCAATCTCTAAGTATTTACTTTGATTTAAGATAAAAATGTGAGAAAACTATTTACTTTAAGCACTAGCAGATCTTACTTAATTTGTAAAGAAACTGATTTCTCCAAAGTAATCATATTTAGTTTTATTATCAATTACAATATTCGTTTTCATAAAATATATACTGACCTCTCCTTTTTAAATTAAGAATAAATCATAATTAGTAGAAGGAATTTCATTAAAAATGACTTCCTCCGGTAAATATAATTTATCCTCTAAAATTGGAATGATTCCTTCTACCAAAAATTTATATGAATGAAACTACCAGAATATATCAATATGTCCAAATAATTTGCCATTCACCTACTCCAAAATGTCCTTACATAATTCCTGTGAAAGTAAACTAGTGATATCATTTAATAAAATTTAATGACTATCCCATACATATTCTAGGTATTTCCTAACCTTATTTTGTAACCCATCAGGTATATTTGCTTATTTCATATATCTATTCAGAACGTTAACTTTTGATTTTCTAACATTTGTCCTCTCTTCCAAAGAGGATAATGCGAAACCAATTGAATTCATAGTAAATGCAAATCCTCCACATGCGACTAACAATAAAATAATTCCTAATCCTCTCTCTGTTGTAGTTGTGGGACTGATATCTCCATAACCGACAGTAGTCATAGTGGCAATACCCCAATATAAGGAATAGATATATCTTATTTACCAATCAGCATTTTCATTATCTCCTAGCCATGAATTTGATTCTTCTCTGGAGGCATAATGGAATATACATCCTAATACATGAGCTAAGAACAAGACGAAGACAAATAGTTTACAAAAGGTTATTACTATACCGAGTATCCTGATATTTTAAATAACCTCATCTAATATGTCAATAATCTTTTTTAATTTAGCCAATCTTAGAAGTTTTAATATATGGATAAATTTCAAAAATTTAAATAACCTTAGTAATTTTGCACTTTGTATCAGTGATTCTGATTCATCAATAATTATGTCATATGGAAAGGTTGAAATTAAATCAATCCAAAACCAAAATGAGAGGTAATTCCTTATTATTTTATCTCTTTTCATCGATAATATACCATCCAAATAGACTCCGGTGTTAAAATTCAAGAGAATATCCAAAGCAAACACTCCTAAAGAAGCCATCGAGATTTCCTTACTAATTTCAATTTCAAAACTTATTTAAAATGGAATACTAATCATTTCATAAATCACAAATGATAAACACAATAAATCCCAAATCATTTTAATTGATCCATCAGGCGTAATAATATAAGGTGGTAAAGGAGTCAAGTGTTTCGTGATTTTTTTGAATAAATTACCAAGTTACATTAAGTAATGATTGATATTGAGACATATGACTTCAGAGTATACTTTACCGAATTTTAGACTGAAAATGGTTAAGCTTCTTTCTTCCCATTGAAATTATTTCTTTTATTTTATAAAAATTTCGAATTATTTTTGTTTCTCAAATTCATCTCCTGAGTCATCACTCGTAACGGCTGTGTCTCTTAAAAATTTTAATTATTTTCTATTCAGCCATTCTTTTTCTTTTCTATTTTTTAATAAATATTCATTTTATTTTATTTCATTCATTAATTATTTTTGTAAAATAAATATAATAATTTAGGTAAAGTTTATAAAGTACAACTAGACTATTTAAATCTTAATACCTTGAATTCAAATAGAATCCAATAGAAATTAACTATTAATATCTTTTATAATCTGTTTACCAATAATAATGTTTTAATAGAACCTTAAATACTTTTAGTAGGAATTGAAAGTATAAAATAATTTAAGTTCATGAAATTATATCGAATGATTTTTGAAAATTAAAGAAAATCATTTCAAATATACATATTTTAATATATATACAATCTAATCTTTTTAGAGTTTATTTACAAATTTAGTCTTAACCCTTAGGAGTATGAATATATGAATACAGAGTAATTAATTATTAAAGAATAATTTCGTTTGAAATAATGAAATAATCAAATAACTATATTGCTTAAAATATATGCTCAAAAATAAGGATTCCCTTTGAGATAATCATCTATATCAGTGATTACCCAATTAAAATTTGGTACATAAGATTCTAATCTTAATTTATGATATTAAAATTAATTTTTATCATAATTGCCATGAGCTACTTTTCCTTCCTCATCAAGTGCAATTAATTTCTTACTTGTGTGGATTAATACATTCGCAACTAATATTTAGTTTTCATAAAGACTGAATGGATTTTTAACATTTACAAAATAATTCCTATTTCAAGTCAATATTAATACCTTGGAGTGACAGGAAAAGCAGGAATCTAAAAAAATCGAGTATTTTAATTTTCAATTCTGTTAATTTTCACTCCGAAGACACCTCTGACATCGATGTTGCATTTATAATCTTTCTCCTGATAAATATGATATGGTTAATTATTGCTTCTAATGAATATGAGAAAGTCATTACTAATTCTTTTAAATCTTTTTTGAAAAGAAACTAAACTAGTATTAAGGCTATTAAGTTTCTTCCTCTTCTTCTTGATCTTACTAATCTTCATTTTCTAATTGATCCTATTCGACATATTATAACTTCAGCTGTTTTTGCTCTAACAAATCCATACAATGCGATGTGGCATGGTATAACTTTGGCTCTAGAATTTATTTCAAATACTCTTTGTCTTATTCTGCAATAGATTGTAATAATGATGTATAAACTTAAGTTGTTTGATTCAAAAATCCTTCTCCGAGTTTTTAAGTATAAAATGCAGGGATTAGATTATAGAATCTTGCCAATTGTGGCTCATATAAATAATCTAATCCATGAAATGCATAGGGTAATATTCTCTACATTAATTTAATAAATAATCATCATTATAAATATGTTCGATAATTTTATTCGAGGTTGTTATCATTTTGATTCTTAAAAGTCTTAAAGGAGGATCAACATGGATTATTATGGCATCCTTGATTGTAAAAATAACAATTAAATGATGTTGAAAAATGGAGGAAGATCCTTTGATAACAAGAATCTCATTTATTATATATATGTCAGAATTGTGGATTTAATTAATTACATAAAATTTGATTATAAAAGATAATAAGATATTAAATTCATTATAAAAAATGAGTGTTCTTAGGTCTGAATATTTTTGGATCGAATTTTACTCTTTTTTAACTTTTGGATGTTTTTTATGATTGTGTGTCATCGAAATTTAATGGCGGTTATTACTATTTAAGACTTATTCCTCTTTTTAATTAATTTGCTTGGATTGGTGATTTATTTTTCAATATACTTTTTTTAGTATTGGTCTCTGAATCTTTTCTTTATGAAATAGAAGATTCATCATTCAAATTCTAAGCTCGTTAGGCTCTCGAATTATTACTCAAACTTCTAGCAAAATTATCTCGTCTATCATTCCTAGCTTCTGATCGCATCTTAAATAGTGATTCCTTGTGCTATTGTTGCTTCTATTAGATAGGTTCTTGATGGTTTTAATTGGTCTCTTAAAAGGATGAATTAGGAAGCATTTATTACATTACGGAATTTGGAGTTGTTGTATTAAGAGACAAATTCAGGCTTGGATTAATCTTTATGGATTAACGATTAGCACTACTGCTATTAAAAGTTGCAGTTTTGTGAATGCTAAAATTGATGTTTGTTTCTTATAAAGTCAGCTCGAGTTATTCTAATGATTCTTCATTTTCTCCCAACTATGATAAAGGAGGGATTAATATATTCTATTTACGAGGTTTTTTGCCTTATGGCTTTCTTTTAAATATCATTGGAACACTATACTCAATTTGGGGAGTAGAGTTCTTTTCTTTCATACATGTTTATGTCACTCCCATTATTTTTATATATTTATTATATTTAAATCAATAGAATTTAGATAAAGACCTAATCTCAGACCGTAAGTTTAGGAGTTACCTGATTGTATGTATATATGATAGTTATTCCAATTGTTTAAATAAACTTAATATATAGCATAATTGTATTATTCAAAAATTTTGAATCATTAAATTAATCAATAATTCTTTGCCTTTAAGTAGAATGATCTAATTGATTATTCTAAGGCATTTCTCACTATTTTTTGATCGTATTTCCTAATACTTAGCTTGAATTTATTATATGTTGAGGCCGGATCATTATGAATAATATCATAGTTTGAAGTACATTGAGATCTATGAATACTTCATTTCATAAGATTTTCCTATATTTTCACATCTTAAATTTTTGACTTATGATTTTATTTGGCTTAACATCATATCAAAGTTTCTGATTGACTATTTCGGTAGTCATATGATTTCTTACATTTATATTGTTGTTTTAAATCTATTTAGAATTAGAAATTAATTAAATCATGATTCATTTTGGAACTTCATTGTTGTTAAATAGATTTTGCTGATGTCTTTAAATATCTTCACGTTTTATCTTAGAAAATCAAAGCTAAAATTCTTATTAATGAAATATACAAAAATTAAAATTTTATATTCAAAATAGTGGAAGATTCGCTTAATCGTTGGATAATTTTAAAGTTTATTATTGCATTTAATTCTATTTAAATTATATTAATTAATAATATATAATATAATTTTTTTCTTTATCGATTTATATACAAATTCTTAACTATCATAATATGAACATATTTAAACAATCAGAGACTTGAAACACAGTGTCTCTGTATATTAAATGTAAAAAAGTGGGCTCTCTCGGGAGTTGAACCCGACCTACTTGCACCCAAAGCAAGCGTACTACCGATATACTAGAAAGCCTCTTTATACTCATAAGTTATGGCAAACTATTTCTATAGATAAGTTATAATAAATTTACGTAAATAATTCAATAGGTACTGAAAATGCCCATTATATTAAATTAATATTAGTATTATCAAGAATCAAGAATATACTTATGAATAAAAATAATTTACCATTCATTAATTTCAAATCTTTATGTAAACTTTATTGAAATCCAATTCAATTATTGGCAAAATAAGAAAAGGAAATAATAGTTAAATTTAAAATCGAATTTAATTACAAATAAAATAAGGTATTTTATATTAGACATTTGAGTCATGTTTAAATGTCTGAGAAAACTATAAGAATTAATTAATAAACCAAAAATTCAATTTAATATGTGAATGTTGTTAAAAATAATTTATGATTATAAATTTCACAATTCTTCAAGTTTTTTGTGATCGACTAATGGATTGTTTTTAATAAGTAGTTGTCTTGCTTTTTCTGCATGATCAAAAGTACAATTATGGTCTTCTGGCAATCTATGTTTGTTGCAAAAAACGATTTTGCATTTACATTAAATGCCTGATATTCCTAACTTTCTCTTACAGACATAACATTTTGAAGGATCTTGCTGTAAATTTTAAATCACTTTTGTACCTGTACATTCACTTCTTAATTTGGTTATGCTTTATCCTCTTGTATTTATTATTGTTATTGTTGCTAAGGTTATTGCTCATTAGTTGTTTATTAAATAGTTCTACAATATTCAACGAACATACTTATAGCATTTCGAACAATAAAAATTAGTTTTTGCACTTCCAAAGAAAGTTTGGCATAATGGACAAAGTTTTGTTTCTTATTTTACTTCTTAATTTTTTGATTATTCTTCTGTAGCTGCCTATTCATTATTTTGCATTTTTATTTTATTTATATAATAAATACTTATCTATACAATGATTTAAATTGAAAAAATATAATTACTGTCAATTCCATTTGTGTCTTTTACGTTATAAGGACTAAAATATTGAACCCAGATTCTGTTAACTAATTATTAAACAAAGAAATACCAGTACTTAAACTATTAATCTTAGTAGTGGAGATTTGATTCTAATTTTACGATTTGCTAAGCCTATTAAGTGTTTAATTATCTCATAATCAATTTTCTTATTGAATAATTGAATAGATTCAAGAAATTTATATTTAGACCTTAATTATTTAATCACTTTATCAATCATTTATATATATTCTTTTGTCCTTATAGCAAATAAAAAATTAATATTCTCTACTATATTTTATTTATTGGTTAAATAAATGATGATCATTTTTCAAAGAATTCAATTGTGATTAATCTTCTTTATTTAATACAATAACAATTTATGATTATGAATCTGTAAAATTATCCCATAATTCTTCAAAATATTAGTTAATTTGATTTGGATAGCATATATTTATAAATAATCAAGTATTTATCCTCTGAGATTTATTTCTAATAACGAACAATTTGATTAAATTGTAAATAAATTAATTCTTAAAGTCTGTAAATATTTTTATCTATTTTTTTGTCAATTTGATTAATTACATATCTTTTAAAACACCATAAATGGGTAACCATTTTTGAACTTTGGTACAGAATGTTTTTATGGTTTGAGCGTTGAATTATTGTTGTAATAACTGCGATTCTAATTTTTTCTTAGGATCTCTCTTTGACTTAATTTCTATTATTGCTATTTCTATTTTTCTTATTAAAAACTTTTAAAGATTGGTTAACTTTATTTTTTATACTTTACTTAATAAAAAATATTACTTTTGCTCTATTTTGTTATTTGTAAAATTAGAGCTATTTATATTAACATTACATTATCTATTTCCAGAGAAGTATCTTTGAATTGTTGATTTCTCCCTAATATTGTGTTCCTAATCTAATTCGCTTGTAAAAATAATTCAACAAAAATTTTAATTTGGATTAAATTTATATTATTATTGAATTTATTTTTATTTTTATAGTTTAAAGAATTTTTAGTTAGTAAATTATAATTTTGGATCATTGGTTTTTTTACCTAAATATCATTCAATTCAACTTAATTAAGAATAATCTTCATCGTTTATTAGTTAATTCTGAGTAACATTTCTTTGATAAAACTGTATAAAGAGTATTCTGGAAATTAAATTAAAAAACTGCAGGTTCAAGCAGGTAATCATGAATGTATCGATGATGAGTTATTATATGAATCAATAAAGGGCGAAAAAGTATATTATATTTAATTTGTACAATATATTCAATTATAGAGACAAATTTAGTTGAATCTACAAACATCAGCAGACACGCATATAAATAAGTAATCCATACTAATATTGCTGTTTCAATTTGTTCACTTTTGAAAAGGAATCTTATTCTTATCCTTGCTATATTTAAATTCATTAATTTAGATATTTTATTTTAATAAATTAAATATTCTAGAATTCTGTAAGTTTTGAATTATACAAGAATATCTTCATGAAGCCAAATAATCTAAATGAAATGATTAAAAATAATACAATAGACTTGATGATACTTTTGTGATTTTATGGTGTTAAATTATTGAGACATTACCTGTCCAATATCATTATTAAAATATCAAGTTAAGAAATGACTTTATTGTTTGGAAGAGAAATCTGAACGATTTTAGAAACCACTTTAACTTATGGCTAATATAATTGGAGAAGAAAAATATAGGATATTCAATTTGTTAATTTAGAAGGAACTAAAATTGAAAGCCAAGAAAGTAAATTCTCTTAAGTTAGGACAAAATGAATTAATTGTGGAAATGAGATTTTTAATTTTGACGTATGGATAATATAGACTTTTATCAAAAACCTCTATAATTTAACATCAAGTTTTGATGAACTTATAGAGTATGTTAGATAATAAAGATGTACATTATTTGAATAAATACGTGAGAGGATGGAGTGGAAATATAAATTGAATTATCCTTTTATCTCAAAATTAAATTAATCATTAATTAACATAGACTGGAATGTGACGCTCTGAAAACTTTTTAGCCTTGACTTTGATGTTCTCAACTATGAGTGGTTAAATGTCACGACCATTAATTGGTTCATCATTATGTTTAAATTGAGGCAATATTGCCAGAATAATTCCTCCATTTTGGTAGTGTGAAGATACTTCTCTGATTTACACTCTAGTAAAGAAGGCTGTGCCTTTTATTAAGGGTACACATAAATGACCTTTTAATATCTATTCACCTTTGTTATTGACTTTGATTTCTTTTGGATACTGTTCTTAAGAATAGATTGCAACAACCAATTCAATTTTATTAAGATTGCGGACCAATTCCCCATTCCTATTTTTAAGCTCAACTCTTAATTGAAAGATACGATCTCTATAAAGTGGAGTTTCAAGAGGATCCGCTAGAGTTAACCTGTACTTGTATGACTTATCCAGTAACTATTATAATAAAAATTAATTAAGTTACAGATCTTAGGTTGAAGGATATATTTAATTAGGAGTTGGTGAATAACTCATCATTTCGTTTAATTTAGATTTATGAGAGAGAAAACTCAGGTCTTCCTTATGAAAGGAGTTTATTATTAATTGATTGAAATTTATGCAAATAGTCTGTAAGAAGATTATTGAATTTATCCTAACTTGTATTGAGCTAATCCAAAAGGGTTTTGTAGGCATCAACTTGTTTGTCTAGCAATTCAAAAAACTGCGATTATTGAGTTAATATGTTTTGCATAATTTTTGGGGAGTAAAAATATTAATATATTTATTTAATAAAATTTAGTATAATTATTAAATTCATTCAAATTAATTTGCAGCTTCATAATAAAAATGATTTAAGCCATTTCGTTTAATTTTAATCCTAACCAGGACTTTGGAGAATCAAATCCGAAGACTGAATAGACTGATTTGGTGAGCCTAAGTATAACAAAGCAAAAAAACCTTCTGTAAATCTTACTCTTCCTGTAAGAAGGGGAGTTCTCATGACCATATTTAACTATTCTTGATCACTTTGACTCTAACTGACTTTCAGATCTTGAGTTTTGCAAATTTAATGATCATCATTACTTTAATTTAGCCTTCTGAGATCCAATCTAATCTATTTTGAATTCAATTTTGTTATTATTTCTTCAAGTCCAGGATCATCATCTGTTTACATCAAAGCCAGCTCATCCTCATCAAAAGAACGAAAATAATCATGTTGAATGGCCAACCTAGAAGTAATTCTATTTTGAGGATCACGCTAAAGCATCTTATATAACAGGTCTTTCAAATTCCAAGATGATTAATTTAGCTTATCCGTTTATAAATCAATAAACCCTGCTCTATTCGATTTAACAATAGTGTTATAACTTGTGCCTTTAAAAGCAGGTTACCCTGTGGTCAAGATATAAAATATGACTCCAAGTGAAAACATATCACAGATAACTCCATAGGTTTAGGAATCGTTCTATAAATTGATGATTTCAGGTGCCACAAATCCTGGAGTGCCACACCTTGTAAAAATGTAAGGGATGTGATCAACATAAGTGGCCAAACCAAAATCTGCAATAACAACAGAATTGAAGTTACTATAAAAATAAATTAGACTCATTACTCAGGCTCTCTAAAGAGAATGTTTTCCAATTTTAGATCTCTATGCATAAGACCCTTTTCATGAATGTAAGTCAGACCATTTAAGAGACCTTTCATGATGGTGTAAATCTCCCAAGATGTAAATTTTCTTTTTATTTTGTGAAGATCATAAAGCAAATCACCTTCTAGTAATTCTAAGCCCATATAAATTGAGTTTCGAGTTTCGTAAACTTCATGTAATTTCATCAAATTTTGGTGTTCTAAATCTCTCATTATTTGAATTTCATTAACCAGGCCCTCCTATGATAAATTTAAATCTTTTTTACTTATCCTTTCTCCTATTTATAGACGACTTTCTTACAGAAGGCCTTTACCGCCATCTTCATTCCATCCTCAATTCTAGTAGCTAAGTATACTGAAGCAAAACTTCCTTAACCAATCAACTTGTGTACTTTGAAATATTAATGGAAGCCAACCTAATTCATTCTATTCCCTAAAAATTTCCTAAGCATTTGCAAGTCTCTTAAAGATCCTTTTAACTCGCATTACTTTATAGTATTTTCTCTGAATAATTTAATGGCTAGAATTTCCCCCATTTGTTTAATGTTATCTCCCTTCCATTCTGACAAAGAGGGGTTTATCAAAAGAGAAGGACTTCTCAAAACTTAAAACTTATAATCAAATCCGATTCTTAAATATTTATAGGCTTAGCCATAATTGGGTTCCTAAGTTTATGATTACACTAAATTACTTTGCAGAGGACTATTTCTTTGTTCGTACAAAGCAGATAAACAAAGGAAGAATTTTTACTGATTTTTTGTAATCTTATACTTAATTCTGGCTAAGTAAACTATTAGTATTAGTCTACTTAATTCCAAATACCTTTTATGTACATTTTTTTATTACAAATACTTTTAGGTTATAATCTTGACTTAATTAAGATATTATAAGTCTAAATAGTAAAACTGGTTTTTAATAAAAATTGTTCATATATATATTAATCTATCACATCATCTAAAACCAGGTCTGAATCCTGATCCAATTTGGCTGTTTCCTAACTTAACCAATTCGGTCTATGGTATAAGTGGAGCCTCATCAACTTAGTTAGCAAAAACGAGGGCCTCACCCAAACCTAATTATAAATTTGATTAAATTACAATGAGCTTTATCAATACCAACATTCTCAGTTTCAGCATCAATTCTAAGGACACCGAATCCCTTTAAAATAAGCAATGTGATCAAGACAAAGAAGGCAACCCATACAAAAATGATCAATAATCCCAACAATTACATTCCCAACAATTTAGCACCAAATCCGTAGATAATGCCAGCTTTAGTGTCAAAGAAGGCTGACAAGAAGATTCCCAAAAATCCATTACCCTATTTGAGTTAATAGAATATTATACCAAAAACACAGGTACAACTTCAACGGGATCATCAATATGTACCTTTGGAATGACTTTAGCCAAAACACTGTAGAAGACAGCAGCCAACAAACCATAAATGAATGCAGTCCATGGTTTCATGTCATCAGTAGCAGCACTGACAGCCACCAAAGCACTGATAATACCTCTAGACAAGGCAACCAAACTTGTGGTTTCATATTAGAAATATCTAATGATGAAGGCAAAGAATCCACCGGTGGCTCCAGCGACCAAAGTGTTTACTGCGACTAATCCTTAAGTGTATTTGGAGTTGGCTCCTTAGGCAACAATACCTCCATTGTAGAATAACCATCCTGCGAAGACCAAAATTGATCCGAAAGCAATATAGATTGGAGAATGTCTTTAGAATTGTAAGGTTGTGTTGGGGTCAAATCTGAATCTCCTTGGCTTCAACAATACTGTCACAACTAATCCAGCAACACCTGCAGCGAAAAATACTACACCGGCTCCTGAGAAATCCTTGTATCCCAAAGTTGTCAACCTATTAATATTCTCATTCAATCGATACCATCCTGATGCCAAGGTCCAATGTGCCAATCCTGCATATATGAATCCTGCATAGATAATTGTCAAAATTGACCAGGCCAAAAAGGTCATTCTTTCTGCTGCTGCTCCAGATAACACTGACACGGCTATTGCTGCACCTGATGCTCTGAACACTAAACGAATTATCAATATTAATAAAATACCAAAGTTTGTATAATCATTTCCGTATTGATTTGCTTCCCAATTTGCTCCTCCTAATTTTGTACCTCCCAAAAAGTTTGTTTAGAAGTCATATCCAAATGAGAATCCATATCCGAACTATATTTATAGGCTTCATTTCTTACCAACCACCATATTAATATTGTCAAGAACAAACCCAATATCACCTTTATGACTATTGATTAGGAATTCTTATATCTCACTGATCCTGCTTCAATAAATGCAAATCCCACTTAGGTCAACACTATAATGAACCCTGAAATTAGAATCCAATCATAGTCTATAGTTGATGCTTGAGGTGCTGGAATATTGGCTATGGAAGGGACTGCTGCATATTCAAAATACATAATTACCTGTCTCTCCTTCTTAATGTCTAAAAAGATGACCCATATCTTCCGTTATTTAAATTTTTAAAATAAATTTATTTCATAACTAAATAAAAAATGCCATTTATATTCATGAATTATATTAAATCTCATACTCAAACTGATTATTTACAATATCATGTCAAACTCAATACGTAAATCATATTAATATCACTATGCAATCTCAAGCAATAAATTTCGAGAATTGTAAATAAATTTATTAAATTTTATTTATGTGTTGGAGAATTTTAATTTGATAAATATAATATTATAACAAAATTAATACTCTTATAAATCCCTTTATTATGTGGGAATAAATAGGATTCCCCTCTTATTTGTTAACCATCAATTGATCCATTCAAAATTGCATCGGACTAAAAATAGAAGAAATCCAGCCTCGCTTAACTTTAAAGTGCTCCTCTGGCAAGTATCTTTTCTCTAAATGCTGGATATAAATTTTGTCAATTTATATATAAAAATTTGAATTTAAATTCAGTGGGAGAAATTCATATACAAATGAGCTCAGATTTTAAATAAGATGGAACTCCATTTACTAAATTGTTTTAAAGATTAGAAAAAATTCATCAATCCCCTGTTTTTAACGCTGATTGTGTCCAACACCAAGATGACATGTATATAAAAGACCAGTCCCCTGAATAAGTATGTAAGAAATTGGAATTCACTCCATGTTTGAAGTCTCCTAATCAGTATTCACTTTCCATTATAAATTTTAGATTTCAACCTTATTCTCCATTAAATCATTAGACAACTAAAAAGGCGAATATATTCATTATTTCTCCTGCCAGATAAATCAACTTTGATCATACAAAGACAGAATAACGACTTGTCAATATAAGTTCACCTCTCAGTTCAATGAAGATACCAGATGATCTATAACGCGAGGAAGAAGAGATCTAATCTGAAGATCAAGACAATCGTTCTCAATTCAGAAGTCCTCCCAAATCACCTCACAGAAAATTAGAAAGAGCTACTAAATTGAAATTCATCAATTTCGTTACCTTAAAAAAGCCTCTCAAATTTACAAGTGATTAAATAACCAATAGGAAACGTACAAGTTCTAAAAGAAGGAAACCACAAACAGAGTAAAAACCAAAAATAATCGTATGCAATTGTAAGAAATCCAAATGCCTTAAATTATATTGTGATTGCTTTGCTGCAGGTGTAACATGTGGCAAAGATTGCAATTGCTGTTCTTGTCATAACAACGATGATCATACAAAAGAAAGAGAAGTTGTTATCAAATCAATTATGGAAAGAAATCCGTCTGCATTTCGACCCAAAGTTGAATCCAAAGTACTCTATTATTTAATATCAATTAGAGCAACTCAGAAGATGAATAAGATCACAAACCAAGACATTTTAAAGGATGTAATTGTAAAAAATCAAATTGCCTAAAAAAATATTGTGAATGTTATTAAATGGGAGTCAAGTGTTCTGAGTTATGCAAATGTGATGAATGTAAAAATTGTGAAATGCCTGTTAAAAAGGACTCAAGAAAAAGGATAAAACATGTCCATTAAAATTTTAAAAATACTGAAATCTATTGATTTATTGATTTCAGTTTTTGGGCTTTTTTTTCAATATAATACTATTCATTCTTTCAAGAGTACTATTTCTATCATAAAGATAATGATTTAATGATCATTCTATTTTTGTTATTCTTATTAAATTTTGAGAAAGAAACATCATTTTGATCTCAATTTAATTTTATGAGTATATATTTTTAATATTATAAAATAAATTATGAATTTATTTCTATTTCTTTTACCCTAAATAAAATAATAATAAAATTATCAAAATGATTTCTCCTTATAAAGCTCATCTATAATTAGAAATAAGTCACATTATTTATAATAAAATTAGATAGATGAGGTAAAACTTAAAAATTGGTTTATAATCATAAATAAATCTTATATAAATTTACACCTCATTTTTTTTTGCCTCCTTTAGCAGCATCTCCTGCTTTTCCTGCTGCTCCTGTTGCTGCAGCACCTCCTTTAGCACCAGCTGCTGCTTTATCTTTATCGCCACCCTTTCCAGCTGCTGGTTTATCATCATCATCTTCCTCTTTTCTAATAGCTGGCTTTCTTGCTATTTAATAAATAATTAATATATATTACCCTTAGGTGTATCCTCATCATCTTCTTCTAATTCCTTGAGTCTTGCTGCTTCTTCAGCTGCAGCTTCTTCTGCCAATTTCTCTTATTAAATATGCTCCAATTGATCTTCTTAGTCATTGAGATCATCATCACCAATTACATCTCCATCTCTATTTAAAGCTGTATATTTATTCATTAAAATAATTCTCTGTCTTTTAATACTTCTAACAATACTCCTCACATGACTTGCTGGAGGGTGCTAAATAACAAATATAGCTAACATAAGCTTTATCATTTGCTGCGATTTAAATAGAAGCTACGTCTATGCTGTCTAATGGTACTGCCAATTCTAATAACCATAAAGGATACTCATCAATCTCTTTGATTTCTGGGTCTTTTCTATCTTTCCAAATATTAATTAAATCATCCGAAGTGGCAACTGCCTCTACTTTTGCTTTTTTTGGACCTCTTATCCACATTTAATTATACTAATTTTAAACACTTCAATACAATCGATGTAGATCTGATAAGTAATCCCAAACTTCTATACATTAAATTTAATTTAATTATATAATTATGACTATTTTATTATTAGTGAATGGCGATCTGTCATTTCATTTAAAAAAATATATTCAAAAAATTTAGCAGCTTTGACAGACAGTCTTGTCTTGTTGCTTCTTTCCGACTTAGTATTTATGTAGTTTTAATCCATCACTTGCGATGATAGTCTTGTCAATTTATAAAAAGCACATCAGTTTTGCAGGCTTGGAAGCATTAACCATGAGTTAATCATTGTTATCTTCTTTCTATTAACCCAATTTAGCACTTATTTATATTGATCCAATGTATTTTTCACAAACCCAAACTAGATAACTATCAGATAAAGTTAATGCCAACGGTATATTGTTTCCGTTGATTTAGTATTTATGCAGTATACTCATATTTCCTAAAATTAGCAATTAAAAATACCATCCTTAATGTGAAAAATAGGTATTTAAGAGAGGTTCTTACTTAATCCTGCAAAACGTTCTGATGATATTAATTATAAATTATCTATCTAAGAATCATATTGATATTTAGCACTAAATTAGGTTAGAATATTACGATTATTCATAAACCAATTATTTTCCATAGATCATAAAGTTCTCATGAGATGAAATAATCTATTTATTTTCATCATCATATATCATATCCACTACAGATCTATCCACATCTTTGTACTTTTTTATCACACAAGGTGGTTAAGTATCAAATGCTAAAATCATAATTTCTCCACTTTAAGATCCCAATATACATAAATCTTTTCGCATATATTTCATCACCTAAAGAAATCCTATATAAATTTACAGTGATCTTATCGTGTTGAAAATTCTTAATTTTTTCACAATAGAATGTTTTACTCTTCACATTTACTCCAAAAATATCGCCAGATTATGTGATCCCAACACAAATACTTAATGGTGGTATAAAAGATAAAAAAGAGACATCTACCTTATGATTACATAATACTTTAAGTAAATATGCATTCTGATACTCCCTGTAAGGATATTAATCTTACTCCTTCATTAGAATAAGCCAAAATTTAACTATCTGCAGGAATGATCTTTTTGTGATTTGATAAATCATTAACAGATCCTAAATACCTTAAAGTTATGGTTTAACTAGAATAAAATTGTATTGCTTTAATTTATTCATCTCGGATTTAGGCTGGATAAACAGATTAATCCTTTTCACTAGAATAAATTAATTATTTACTCATCCTCATATTCTGGATTCAATGCTTTTAAAGCTTTAAGCCATGTAAATCTGTTTCTTTCACTGAACTCTGTCATACCTTAGATACAAGCCTTTATTTAAGGATTTTTTATGTTGCTGATATGAAATTGTAACTTTTTCCAACCTTAACAGTCTTTTTTCTTCAACACATCATCACTAATATCTATAGCATTCCCAGTTTTCTCTTCGTATATGATTGGATCATTCAATTTTTATAGATCTTTGTCACTTAGAAGTAAAATCATTTAAAGAAATGTAATTCCTAATGAGAATACATCACTCTTCTCTAAATCATGTCTAAATTTAGGTTGATAATTTACTTTACTTTCCCTGGCTGATTAGTTGAGTAGGCAACATATAATTTAGGAGAGAGAAATAATGGGGTTCCTACCAAAGTGTTTAGCATTGTTTAACCATTAAAGTTCTCTTTACCTGCTCCAAAATCAGCCAATTTAACTGTGTATGGGTTTCTATTAGTTACTAATATATTTTCTGGTTTAATATCTCTGTGAAACAAATGTTTGTTTTTTGCTAGATAATAGAATGCTTTCAAACACTAGTTCATGATGTCTATTAGCATTACATCTAATCAAATTACTTTTTTATCATTACCCCCAAATTCTTATGATGCCTTTCTTCTTTCTTCTATATCTGCTTTTAAGCTGTTATGCGCTAATTCCATAGCAAAGACTAAAACATATTTCTTTTCCTCCATCCATGAGTAAACCTTGTAAACTTTAATAACATTTTAATGATAAGTGATCACTTGATATAAGTTCAATTCTTGAATTGCAAGCTCATATGCCTATTCGCTTAACTCAATATATTTTTATACCTAGTTGTTTCAATTATTTTTAATGCGTAATTTCCAGGAGGAAGAGATTTTAAAGCTTTTGCCCTGTACACCTTTCCAAAAGTTCCTTGACCTAACAATGATGAATTTTTAAAATCGAAGTCTTCTTAAAATTCAACTTAGGTTGGAAACTATTGCATAAAAATAATTTGTATTTATGTGTTTTAATATTAATTGAAATTCATCTAACTAAATTTACTGTTGTTTACTTATACTCTTAGATACTGGATGATGATTACTGAAATTTCACAAAAGAAAATTGTGATTTATCTCAAAATTTTCCGTTTCAAGCCTTTAATTAAACCTTTAATAACATCAAAACTTGATTAGAAGATTCAATTATTCTCAGAATAAGTACTGTTTATTTAGGAACTTTTAAGCTCAAAAATAAATTGTAATACAATCTCATTCATGGTGCATAACATTTTAAAGACATATCTATGAGATTAAAATCAAAACTAAAATTTTAGCAACAATTTATAACAGATCCAGTAAATTTATTAACTTCTTAGAATTTTTATTTCTATTGAAACTATTATTTTTTTTAATTAATAATTAAAGTAATAATCCATTTTAATCGAATTGAAAGTATTTTAAACAGAATTAAATATATATTGATTTTATATTTAATATTCATATAACATTAGCTTCAATAAAAAATTTTTAGTATCAACTGGCTATCAATTATTAATACTATCTAATAATTGCTTAAGTTAATCTATTTCAAAAACACATAATTGCTGATTCAATTTAAAAAAGTAGGATTCGATATAATCAAGAGATGCTTTTGATAATTTGATGTCGTTCTCTTTAAAAAGCTCAAACAAATCCTAAAATTATTATTCTTAATTTACATTAACATTGAGTTTGTTTCGAGGACTTTAAAATTTAGATTAAAGCTAACTGCAAATCATTTCAAGATTATTAGCATTTAAATTAGCTTTAATTTCATCAAAAACAGCATTATTAGGCAATCGAAAATTATCTAATAATGTTTTTAGAATGCTCCTTATTCTCGAATTATTTTGTGGCTTATCGAAATTAATATCATCCTCTTAATCAAACAAATAATTTGCTAAAATAGAAGACTGGTCTTTGTTTAAATTAAAGATCGATTGTTAAAGGGAATCTTTAAGTTCATCTAAAGTAGTTTCTATTTGATTTTTAAACAAGTACTATTATAAATAGGAAGTATATTACAGTATCTAATTCATCAAAAGGAACTTTATTATTAATCATCTAAAATTTAATTACTTTGACTATTTAACAGAGATCTTGCTTGCTGATTTTGGAATATTTGGATTTTCCAACACCACTTAAAGATCTTTAAGAAGTAATTAAAGAATAATCTCCAGAGGCTCGGCCAACAATTTAATGTTATGAAAACATGGAAGGTTTGACAATTGAAGTGGATTTCTCGTTCTTTTTAAGTTTTGCCTTTTGTATCTACTCTTCCTATAGAGCCTTACTCAGTGATTCACATCTTTCTTATAGCAATTGCATTTCATCATCTTTGTCCATAATCCTTCGATCATATTTTTTAATTTCTTATCTATGCCTATCTATTAATTGTTCTATATATGCTTCATCTTCTTATCTCTTTTAACTTAGTTTGTGAATATCTGAGAGTAGTTTTCTATGTATGATAAAGCTAATACTTAATTTATTGATCTTGTTTACTCTTTTGATTATGCTTAACAGCAAATAATAGATCTCTTTCCTTATATTATCTGATTTCTTTTAATAATTCATTAATGAGTTATTTCTATTATTAAATTTTGACTTATTGCGTTATGATGTGTTTTTTCATTTGATCGTAATCCTTAAGCTTATCTTCCAACACTTTTACTATTTCAACTAATTTAATATTATCTTATTCTAATTCATCAAGGATAGCAAACTAAGGAGCTAATATATTTCTCTGATTCCCTAGCAATTTTTCTTTTTGGAGTTCAACCATATTTTAAAGTTCGGATACTTGTTTTTAGTAATTTGTAATTTCATCTATTTTCAATTTTCTTTTTAAATTCTCAATCTCAACTTCTTTAGACTGCAATAATTTAAGCAAATGTTTGAATCTCTGATTGTTTCGAACTGTTTTCAATTGGATTTCATCATCAGACAATTGTTGATGAAAGCTTTCAAGATCTTTCTAGATATTAATAATCACTTACTTAGTAATATAAATTCTGAGACTTGAGTTAGGTATTTTCTAATCTTAATTAATTGAGCTCTTGCTTGATTTTTAATAATTAATCTTATTGATCCTCCTTATCGTAGTATGAATTTCTTGATTCATGTTTAGACAGAAATCCAAATGAGTTGATTAAATGTTGTCTATGACGATGAGATTCATGACAAGATTAATTGATTGATCCTATAGATCGATTTTTACACGACTCAGGAAACATAAATAAATTTTATAAATTAATATTTAATTCTATGCTCAACATTTTTATTAATCATTCATAAATAACATATATTGCTCACCAAGGTAAATTTCTAATTAATTATTAAGTCTAAGATGATTTAATAATAAAATCTAATATATTAAGGATATTAAATAGATTATCCTTTTTTTGTCGAAATTCATATTTATTTGTTCATCTAAATAGAACTTCATATTATATTATTACCAATTTAATATTTGGAGAACTCCAATTTTGTAAAATTCTAGCCTTTTCAACACTGATTCTAATTTATATATACAAAATTTAAATAAACTAATAATAAATTTATTAACTTACTTGACTTAACTTTATGCAGGTCTGTCCTATGATTTCCAGATTCGTCTGATAAATTTAATTTGATACAATTTAGATATGTCATTTCATTTGTTTATGCAGATGAATTTAGGGATGGCCAAGTTGAAGAAACTAAAATTTGTTATCTTTATATCAGATATAAATATTGATTAAACATTCCTTAATTTAATTCCTGTTATTAATATACGACTCTAAGAAATGGGTAATATTTGCAACTAAAGAATTACTACTCCATCCAAAGAATTTGATTTGGGAGAAGTCATCTTCGGAAGAACATATATTTATGGTCCTCCCTCTATTGAAAAGCCATCACCTATATAAATATTGAAATTTTTGGATTAGGATTTTAATTATCAGCACGAATAGGAAGAGTGCTGTTCATCTTAGATGATTCAATTAAAGGATCAGATCCTTCTATAAATTACAGATAGAGACTCAAAACCCATAGATGTAAAATTATCAGTAGAAGAAAATCTGTTATTAAAAGAAATGCTTGGATCATAAGAATAGGATAGTTGTTCAAAGGATGAAAGGAATAGTGAGTTAAAGGATTCCAATTAAGATAATACCAAACACAAATCAATTTTAAAGCAAAAAAATAAAAATACTTCAAATCCTTAGAGTCCTAAGAATTAGCTCAAGGATTCTCAAACTTCAGGTTCTCAAAGATCGATCAAAAAGGTCACTTTTGATAAAAAATCAAAAGTTGTTTATAGTAGTTTCAGAAACATCAAATATTGAGACAACTGGACTTGTGTCCTTTATAATTTTTATACAATCATTTTTATTTTTTGTAATTAACTTAACTTCAAGAGTATTGGTGTAGTTATTATGATTTATCAACAGTTGTTATATTATTGGCTCAATAATGGTAATCTATTAACTAGAAATAATAATGATTTAATAATCATCAATGGTTTGACGTCATTTTATATTAATTTTAATGAAGTTTTTAATTGTCATCTTATTGATTGTAGCTACAAGCTCAACTGCAATAACCTTCAATTCTAAATGCACTGCAAAAGTAGCAAAACTCACTCCTAAATTTTCAAAATTATATGCAAATGTAAATGAAAAAAAGTTTACATCAAGTTTGAAGGAATTAGTTGGAATCGTAAAATCTTTAGTGGCTATAAAAACATCTTGTTCTGGGGCAGAAGGCGTTGATTTGTCTAGTTTCTAAGAGAAAATAGGAACTTGTTTAAAAGATGGCTTCGAATTAGCTAGCAATGGTTATAAATCATACAATGAGTTTGAAGAGGATGGGTTCTCAGATATGCTTGTTGACAGTTTAATTGATATGTCCCATTTGGTGGAACCTGTAATCACAAATTGCTGGGGAGACGAAGTAAAGTCTGTGTTGGGATTTGTTTTACCAGATGAATGCATCTCAGTCATTGACAATGCTGCAAAGGTCACCTTAGAGATTATTGAATAAAAAGAAAGACCATTGTTGGTGACTAAGGGATTACTAAATTTGAGAAAGGTCTTCAAGGAATCCAAGAAGGTTTGTCCATTTGTTGAGACTTTGATTCCCGATTCGGATGATGAGGACAGTGATTCATTCGAAGATGACAGCGAGGATAGTGATTCTTTCGATGATGATTACGAGGATAGTGATTCTTCTGAAGGCGGTGATGATTTGGAAGCATTATTTGAACTATTCGAATGATCATCATTATTATATATAATCAAAGGATAAGCAATATTTTATTTATTGTTAATAACAATTTAACGATTGACACTATCGAAGATATAAGTTTTATCTTAATTATTATTCAAATAAATTTATTTTGAATTATGAGTTCCCTCTTTGTTAAGTGCATGGTTTGCCAACAAAGACCAGCCACCATAAAGTGTAATTAATGTTAATTGGGCTAAACTTATCGATTGTGTTATAGTTGTGATTCTCAGGTCCACAACAAAAACAATCCATCAGAGGAACAGCATAAAACTGAGATCATCCCATATCAAGGTAAAACTGTCCTTATTATCATCTAGAAATGTATCAAAAAGCTGGATCTGCCTCCGCTTTGAAAGATTCCTCCTTGAAAGTAACTATTTATTTTTGAATTTTTGTAGTCTAAACCTGAATAGTAGTAACAAAAGCAATAACCATAAGGAATAGCAAAACCTCAATCCTCGGCTTCATCTAAACAATTCTCGAACAACTTTAAATCAGTAAAGCCTGATGCGCCCTAAAAAGAAGAAATTTTGAATAATTAAAAACCTGTTAAAGAACCTGTTTAATTGGTTTAATAGCAATCGCTACCCAATAAGTTTACCAACAATTATATTTACCCTCAATCCCAAACCAAACAAAAAGTAGAACCTAAATAAGAAGAGATCCAAAGGCAAAATAACTCTGCATCTTATATGAGCAATACTCAAAACAACAAACTAAAAGAACAGATCTCAGAAGAATAAGATTAAAATAATGAACTCAGGAGAGAGATACAATAAACCAAGGATCAAATCAAAAACATCAATAGTGAAATCGATAAGAAAATGTATTATATTCAGAATATTATAGATAATAAAATTAAAGAGAATTTGAAAAGAAAATCAATGATCTGAAAAAAGAAAGTGCAGACGAAAAAAAAAAAATCACCACTTTGACTGATGAAGTTAAAAAACTAACTGAATAAGTTAAAAGTGTTGATCAACAGACTCAAAAAAAATTGGATCTTTCAAAGAAATAATATGAAAAATAGATTAAAGATATGCAACAAGTTATCAATGAAAAACAACAATAAATTGATGAAATTGCTGAAGAATTTTAGAATTACAATCTGGAAGATATCTAGGCCAAAATGGAAGAGATGGCAGGGGAAATAGAAGAGAAGGATTAAATCATAGAAGAATTGAAGAACTAGCTTGAATAAGGAGGTGATAAAAGAGAAGATAATGAGGAATTAAGTCAACAACTTGAATAAAAGGATGAAGAAATCAAGAAGTTGGAGGGACTTATAGAAAACTTTAAACAATTATATTAATAGATGTAAGATGAAAAACAAGCCATGATGGAAGAGAATGAGAAACTATCAACGGAGAACAATCAATTCAGAGAATTGTTTAGTGTATTTTGTAGATTTATTTCATTAGTAAAATCTTCACCTATTTGGTATTGATCCAAATCAATTGGAAGAAGAAGATGGGGAAGGCGAATAAGAAGGAGAGGGAGAACAATATGAGCAGGATGAAGAAGGTAATTTTTTATATTTATTTTAGAGAATTGATTATAATAATTCCTATATCATTAATCTAATATTTATATAATTATTAATTTTAAAAGGGATTGTTGTCACAGCAGTATTCTTGTGTATAAAATCAGAATCCAATAGTATTACAAAATAAAAATAATAATATTTAAGAATTTATATTGTTATTAAATAAGAGTATATAATATTATTTTTTTGTCAAATAAATTATATTGATGAATTCCTCTTTAATCCACAATGTTAATGGATTAGATAGATTATAAATGTGCAATAGTAAAGACTTGCTTACTCAATTTGAAGAGGGCGGTATTTAAAATTCTAATTTCAAGAAAAAGTATTACTCTCTTCAAACATCATCAAAGTGAACTAAAACAATAAGAAACAGGAAAGGATATTCCTACTAACAAATAGATTTGTATATAATATTAAATCGGATAGCAAAATATTATAATTTTTTGGTAACAACATTATTTAATCTTGAGGTAAATCAATTAAAATTCAAAGGAAAATCCGTATTCAATTGATAACTGCTATTAGTGTTAGCAACATTGGTACGGAATTCGTATTGCATATACCATAAGAATACGATTATAGATTCTAATCAAGCGATTTGTAAATTCTTCTTCATAAATTAGTCGCAAAACCATTCTTGAAACACTCATTATTGTCTATAGTTCACTAACAATGTCAAAGATGCCCTTCTTCTTTAAAGATGATTTCACTTTGATCTAATACTGCACAACCGAAAAAGATGTTAAAAAAGGGATCAAAAGATACCCAATTGAAAAACCCATTGTAATTTTATTCAATCTATTTAGGAACTTGATGTTGTTGAATTCTAAGATTATTAAAAGAATAAACCTGTACCATAACAATTAATTTATAAAAAACCTGGACTGTAAAAATAATATAGTACTACTCTTATATCTATTGAACAGTTTGATTTAATCAAAGTACTTGGCAGAGGAGCATTTGGGAAGGTATTTTTAAATTTAATCTAAATATAGGTTATGATGTGTGAGAAAAAAGATACAAAAGAATTATTTGCTATTAAATCTTTAAGGAAAGAGCACATTTTGGATAAGAATCAAGTTGAACATACAAAGGCAGAGAGAAAATTGTTAGAGGAAATAGAGCATCCGTTTTTGATATCCTTGGAATATGCCTTCTAAACAGCTGAGAAACTATTTTTCGTTATGAAGTTTATGAGGTATTATTAAAATTAAATTTCAAAATAGAGGGGGTGAATTGTTTAAGCATTTGAGAGATAAAAAAAGATTTCCTGAAGCTACTGCATAGTTTTATGCTGCATCCATTTTGCTGGCCATAGAACATTTACACTCAATATCAGTGATCTATAGAGATCTAAAACCTGAAAATATTCTAATGGATGAATTTGGATACATCAAAATGAGTGATTATGGATTAGCTAAATTTTTAAAATAAGGTGAAAAAACATTCTCTTTTGTTGGAACACCAGAATATTTGGCTCCAGAAATTATTAGATAAAATGGACATAGTTTTGAAGTAGATTGGTGGTCTTTTGGAATTTTAATGTACAATAAATAGCTTACATAGATATGAAATGTTGGTTGGAAGACCTCCTTTTTTTTCATAAAGTCAATCCTTATTATTTAGAGCAATTATAGAATCAGATATAGTATTTCCATAATAGTTAAGTTTAAGTAACCATGCTAAAGATCTGATTACTAAAGTAAAGATATAATAGGATTTTAGCTTTTAAAAAAAAACCCAGTTGAAAGGTTGGGACACAATGGAGGCGGAGCAACCATTAAGATGCATCCTTGGTTTAAAGATTTTAAATTTTAAGATCTATTAGAAAAAAAGATATAACCTCCTATTATTCCTAAGTTGTATGATAAATTAGACGTGTAAAATTTTGATTTAGAATTTACAAGAGAGGGTAAAAGGAATTGCTATAATAAATTTAGAAGCCATGAATTCCGTAGTAAATATCGATCCAAAATTGGTTGAGAAATTTAAAGAGGATTTTGGAGGAGTGACCTATGTTCCGAATAATGTTTTAAGTTGATTTTATAAAATTGTGATATAAATATCAATTCGTCTCACTGTATCCTCAAATTAGTGAAGCAAAATTAATTGTTTTGTAATTTGATGCCATTTTCCTAACTTAAATCTATAAACATATCTCTATTTGATGGTTGATTTTCTGGTTTCTTTTTTTGACACACTTAAGTAATCCGCTATAAATATTTATACTTATTGCTAATTATCCTGAATTATTAATATAAATCAATAACGAGGCTTGTTGAAAGCATAATGGTATAGATGCCAACATGAATGTAGGATAGTTTTTCGATTGTATCTTAGTCTGTTATTTAAAATTAATCTTGCGCATAATAAAATAAGATTAAAGATAATGAAAGACTCAATCCAACATCCTAGGTAATACCTTTAATAGTCTCCAAAAAGTTCATGTAAGGATTAAGAGTAATTAAAACAATTGATGACAAGATTTATATGGATATCAAAAGCGAGATCTGATAAATTGCAGTATCAAAAAATAATAGTAGAGCACCCATAAACAAAATTTTTCTAAGGGGTTAGAGAAATTAAATTTATCTATTGATTTGTTTAACCGATTTGATGCCTTCATATAGAGATCCAAAGTGTTGTGCGTAATGCTTAGAAGCTATTTAATAGGAGGATGCCTTTAGAGATGTTGAAAGTATAAATAAGACAACAAGTTAAAATAAGAGTAGACTCATAGCGCCTAGGAATGAAACTTACTCTACAAAATTAGGATTTTGATTCCATAACCAACAATAAGCTGAAGTAAAGATGGAAAAATTCAGATCGTATAAACTTGACAGGTAGACTCTGAGTATTATATTATAGTAAAAATTTGAACAATACTTCAAACTAATAAAGTGAATAAATGAAACTACTTTGTAACCCAAAAATTTCAGACTGTTTACTTTTTGATTTAGTTTGATACTTTGAAATTTGTTAATCAACAATCTTTGTATTATAAAAAGATTAAATTTAGAAATGAATAACAGAATGAAGGGAGTAACCCAAAAAACTAATATGGAACTTAAATTAACGACTAGGTTGTACTCTACATTTCTTTCCACAATTAGAGGATAATCCTTATTTTAATGATAATCCAAACCGTTTATGATATCAAATTTGAAAAAATCATTAGTAAACTCAAACCTCGCAAATTAAAAAATATCCAAAAATTAATTATGCATATAGGGAAAGTTGACATTGATGTATGTGATGTAAGATAGAATTTATAGATTGTCTAACACATTCCAATAGAAATCTAAGCTTCCCATCAACAACCCTATTAAAGCAATTCCTCCTAATATAAATAGGACAGTAGATCCAAATTATCTAGATGCTTTTGTAGTACTCAAAGTTTGAGTGCTTAATTATTTATATTTCAATAATTCTGTTTTCAAAATGGAGGATTTCAAAGGATATTTGTCAATTGCATCATAAATTACGTAATTAGTAAAGTTAATTTGATATTAAACGAAATCGATACTCTTATGCAAGAGTAACTTAATTGAAATAGACTCTAAATGACCATCTTGATTATAATTAGAGGTTGAATTAATATCGTAATCTACATGATCAATCTAATCAACAATTTCCTATTTCCATGATTTGATTATGGATGAATTAATCAAAATCATAGGTTTGCTGAATGAAATTAATCCAAACCTTGATGACTAATAAAAATCTTTAACTCTTTCAAATTCCAAGGAAGCAATTGATAAATTTAATTTGTAACAAACGCTTAAAGTATTTATTTATTATTTGCAACCCCAATCCTATTCGATCTGACATGTACTAGAACATCCATCATTATTGAAAGTATTACCATCATCACATTACTCATCACTCTTTCTAATTCCATCTCCACACAAAGAAGCACATTATAATCCCTTTGTATATAATCCTATAGTTTCTTCACAAAATGCACATTTTTGAGTAAATCCATAATCAATACCTTTGATGCATGATAGACAATCCTTCTAAAATGGTCCTGAACACTCTTTGCAATGTTTACTATGAAATAGAAATAGGATATTACTCGCATTTGCTGCATTCAAAGGATTTGGTCAAGAAATATCCTGAGTTACATTGGAGACATCTGCTGGAATTACAAACTTTACAATACTGTGAACATTTAGTACAAGTAGAAATGTAAATAGAACTATGAATTAGTAAATTTGGAATTAACTCACAATAATATTCCATTTCTTGTTTACAATCTCTTGAACATCCATCTCTATTGCTTGTATTTCCATCGTCGCATTGCTCATTACTGGATTTTATTCCATCCCCACATATTTTAGGTTGACAGACTTCAACTTCAATAGAACAGACATAACAGTTATCATCTTAATAGTAGTAATTTTTTAAACACTCGCACTTCGTATTTTACAATTACATAAACCTAGCAGTATCACATGTTAAACAATTATAATCTTCAGATCCATTACATGTTAAACATGTTTTATGGCATTTGATACATCCATTTGAAATATCATTAAAGTATCCATCTAGACAATCACAAGTAGGAGGTACAGAAGAAGCTAATTTACATGTTATGCAATTCTCTGATGAAGTCTCACATACTCCACATCGTGCATTGCACTATTGGCATATTTGATCATTATCTTCAAAATAACCTACTTTGCATTTACAAAGAGGAGGATCTGCTCTATTTTATGTACACTTTAGACAATTAGACGAATTCAATTCACAAGTGATACATACAGAATTGCAATTCAAACATGGAGAGACTAAGTCAATCTCATAGGTTCCATCAGGGCAGGTACAAAGTTAGGGGGATACTCTGTTAAATTTACATGTGACACAATTATCTTGATGATAATTGCATTCCAAACACTATAATGAACATTAATTGCAATCTTAACTCCCAGGATAATTAAAATATCCAGTTTAACACTTGCATTGATTTTAAATTAAAGTCAATTGACTAGGACAATCCAAACATTCTGAATCAGATTTGCAAAGATGACAATTATTTGTGCAGGGAACACATTTGATATCCAACTCATAAAGCCCAGAAGCACATATACAATCAGGGGGATTATAATAGTGATCAGAACATTTGATGCAATTTGTAGATGTAAATTCACACTATTCACATTTAGGATGACAAGCTATTGAATATGTAATTAAAGTACGTAAACACTTTTAATTTTCTAAGTGCATATAATATCCTTATAAGCATGAACAACTTTATCGATAATAAAAATTCTTGAGAGGGCAGACACATGTCCCATCCTTTAGAAAAAAATTGGGTTAGCACTAAACACAGTTATTAATTGCTAGACAATATAAACAGGTTTCAGGACATTTATCACAATAAGGTCCATTTTAATAATATCCAATAAGACATTTGCAATTATCATTGGCATCCCTATTAGCTGCGCATGTTGTACAATATGGCTAATTTGATAAATCTAAATCACAAGTACCGCATTATTTTGGACATTCTACATAAATGATATTGATACATTTGCAACTCTTTTTAGATACTTCATAATAGCCATCTTGACATGGACAATTTGTTACAGGATCATTTATTCTATTTGTTAAACCAGAATGACAACTTTGACATGTGTAAACCAATCCAATATACTGACAATCAGCACAACCATAACCACAATACATTAGATAGCATTAATCATCTCCTAAATCAGCATAATTATTCAATTAATCACAAAGACAACTTTTAGATACTAGGACTCTATTTTAACTTAAGAAGCAATCCAAACAATGAGAAGAGGATCCTCCATCACAAGTATTACATTTAGTATCACAATTTTGGCAATTAAAATCACCATCATAATACTATTATATGCTATTACATTGACATTCAACTTGACTCGTACCATCTCCGAAGATAATGATAATATTTGAAATTCTATCATCAAAACACTCTAAACATTAATTTTTCTATGAGCCTCTGCAATTTTTACAACTTGGATGACATTTGTCACACTAATTATCAAAGTAACCATCATAACAAACATCGCATATAGAGAGAATGGAACAAGATTTGCAATTAGGCATACATTAAGTACATGGACCACTATCTAAGAAATAATCTTCCTCACAAACAAAACAACCTGTAGCATCGCATTATTAACATTTATCAAACTATTCAGAACATTCTAACTTATTATTAAGTTTAAAATACTCAAACACTACGGGGTTAGTAAATCAAGGTAGTACTATCCTGCATTACAAACACAATCACCAATAGAGTCCTTTTAATAATTTGGCATACACTTTGTACATATTCCATCTAAATCACATTCTTAACAATTCACAGGCAAACAATTTTGATCACAAGATGTTCCAATAAACAATTTGTCTATACATTCAGAACAAACAAAATTTTCATCACATTTCAAACAGTTATAAGGACAACCTATAATTAATTAATTATATTTACGATTACAAATCCCTGAACTGTCAAGATAAAATTCATCAGAACACTAACATTGATTGTTCTAAAATATATTTGAACCATGACAACATTTGTTATTGCTTTCTAATGTATATCCAAATTAGCATGATAAACAATTTGTGCTTGTATATACACAAGTTAAGCAACTAGAGTCACAAATTTAACAATCATTTTATGATAAATAGTATCCATCATCACAATGACAGGTATTGTCACTTTATAAGGTGCTATTAAGTTTACATGTAGAACACTAGTAAGAATATATTCCAAAGCATGATTCACATTGATTATGACAATCTATTTACAATATAATTAATAATACTTTGACATGAACTCAGATTGCCAACTTTAATTAAAACATATCCTGTCTAACAAACACATGAGTTCAATAGTAATATTGTATCTTCTTTGCAACTCAAACATGAATTTTATGAATCACAAGTATTACACATATCATTGCATTCTATTATTATTATATTATTCTACTCTAACATTACTACATTCCTGCTTATGAATAATAGCCAGTTGGACATTTGCATTCATTATTATCCAGGTATCTTAATGAGGATGGGTTGCATTTGATGCAACCATTAAATGAGGAATTGAAACAATATTCACAAGTAAAATCACATTCTTTTTTATAATAATTTAATTTATTTACATGTGCATTCCATATTATTATCGATGAAGTAGCCAGCTTTGCAAATACATCTATTATTTACAAATGTACTTTTATTATCACAGCTCAGACAATCACTTTCTGATCCTCCCTAACAAGTCAAACAAGATTTATTACACTCTAAATTATAATTATAAATTTACTTTAGCAAGTTGTTTATGGCTCCAATTCATAATACGATTCTAAACATGCGCATTTATTATCATTTAACATTCTTTTAGTGAGGATATCACAGGAAGTACAACTATCAACTTAATTCCCAATGCATTATTAGCAACTGTAATGACAATCTGAATTATAATCATGTTTACCTTAACAAATATTTCCTAAAAGAAATTGGTTCAGTTAGCATTAAGTTCCTATTTCTTACGCATTACGAGCCCTAGTTAAACGATTATCAAATTTAGCAGTGTAAACCTTGAGCAGAAAAGCAATAAAGATTGTGGATCGATTGTTCATTGACTAAAATAATTAATTTATGATGATGATCATAATGACAATATACATAATTATAATATTTAGGAATTTAAATTGATTTAAAACTTATTTAAATTACAATCTATAATTTCCATAATTTAAGGCATAAAGAAATTTGACTTATTTATAATAATATTCATTTTTATCTTTTCACTTCCAAATACAAATTCTCCAAACATTTTCTAATCTTACATTTCTACAGTTGTTTGGTCTCCAACAATAATTCGTGACATTTCAACCCTAGATATTCGAGTGCCCAAGAGTATCTAGCCCTATCTCTTTTCAGGCATCTTTCCATTATTATGAGTTACTACTCAATGATGTATTCCTCATCCAAATCTATCGACAAATCTAAATTGGCCAAACTAAAGTAATCAATTTCACAAGACATGTCAGATTCCCACTCCACTATTGTTTTTACGCCGTAAAGCTCCTCAATATAATAAATAATGTGTGGATATGTGAAAAATCTAATTGTACTTTTGGGTTGTAAATCAATTCTAAACTAAATTCTATTATTCATAGCTGTAATGTAATAAATAATCTCAAATAGAGGTATTTTCAACTTGTTAAGATCATTAGCTATCAATTTAATATAAAAAAGTAATTTATCTGATTAATTGGTTTTGTGTTTTTTCATGTTGACTTTTATTATCTTCTCAGGTGGAAGTGCTATTTCATATTTCTATTCTATTATATTATTCTCCAATTGTAGATTTTTTACTTTTTCTAAAATGCTATGGACTGCATTCAAAATTAATTAATTAGTTTAGTCTCTTTTATCATTTGGAATACTGGTGTCATTTTAATTTATTGTATTGTATCTATGCAACAAATTGTAGAACTTAATAAATTGCTGATCCAGTATTGCTAGTCTTAAGAATTTGCAAAGATTGACATCAGTTTCCATCTTCTGAATGATGTCTTCTAAGGCATTTTAAATAATTGTTCTTACTTAAAATGTGTTATGCTCTTTATACAATCTAGAAGACAAGTATTTTTCGTAAGTAATAGCTAAGCAAAAGTTTATTGTGTCTAAATTCTGGAGAATGCTTAAACAAAGGTTTTTGCATACATCTTCCAATCCTGGAGTAATACTGAATTTCTTGATCATTACGATGGGAAACTAGAGAGCACAACCACAAAATACTCCATGAGTTGATCTATATTGTTTAATGGATAAGGTGAGATTGGGTAATATCTCAGGCTAGGCTATTTTTCGTACTTAACATTCGTGATATAATTAAACTTAAACTCTTTTTCTTAACACTTTTATTATTTTTTCTCTTTGATTATTAATAAACTATGCATTATAATTTAATTTTTAGATGGTCCCTTATAAGATTAGAATTTCTCTTTATATTTCCATATCCTTATATGACAAATTCTATGCTATTTCATGACTTAGGATTTCAGAGAGGTGAGTCTTATTTTTTGCTCTATTAAATGAAAACCACACTTCTTCAGCTATCTCCTTATCCTCAACGACATTGTAGTGATTTAACTATCTAAATAGTTCCAAAATGAGATCTGTAATAGTTAAGTTAGTTGGACCTTTTATTTGAGCATTCAATATTCCAAACGGACCGCATTGAAGCATGATTTCAGCTGCATCATTTAACAGTCCCAATTTACAAACATTGAATTGATAATTTTATTAATCATATTCTATTTTGATAAAGTTTATTAATGAAGGAAATAATTTACTCTCTTAAACCATTTACATTAGTTTCTATTTGATGGAAGCCAAGAGTTAGGTTTTTTATAGATGGTTGGTTTTTTTATTGGGGATCTTAGAAATCAGAGGCTCTTTGATTTTGTTTTTAGGCTACTAGATGAATTTACCCTTTAAATCCTTTAAGAAGTACTAGACTTCTTTCAGGGGCTGTTGGAGATCTTCGAAATCCAAGCGGTTCAGAATTGACGACATTTAATTGGATAAGCACATGTCCATTAACTTCTGGATGTGTTGATCCTAATATAATTATCGATTAATCTGTTGGTATTCTTGAGCCTGTTTCATTTGTTGAATTGATGTTGCTGGATAAACATAGATCTTCTTGATGATTTTTGGTTCGTTATCCATTAAATATAAATCAAAATTTTCATCATGCAAACATTTATTACTTTAATCAAAAAATTATAGGGATTTAAAATGCAGTTGAGTTTATTTGTTGACTATATTCAAAGCATAAAATTCTTTTTCGAAGTCTTCTGATATTAAATAATTATTTTATTTTAAAATAAATGGAAGATTTAGGTTTCTCGGAGTAAGACAGAGATGCTCTAGAAAGAGAATTTCAGGATGTAAGGTATCTTTGATCATATAGATAATCAACGAATTAGCCAATGAGCCTGCTCTAGAGAGATTTAGACAAGAATACACAAAATTGCATCAAGCATTTCGAAACGCCTATGATTAAGAGAGAAGATTGCTTAGGAAATTGAGAGATATCAACAGCGATATTTTAAACAATGCGGGCAAAGTAACTAATGCGCTCAAATTTTCACAAGAAGACAGCGAGAGAATTAAGTTACTAAAAACTGAACTTGATAACACCTACAAAGTCATAGAATAAGCATAGATGAGGGAAGACAAATTGAAATAGAAGATTGAAAACTTTTAAGCTGAAATTAAACATTTATAAGATTTGGTTGAACAAGGTAATGCTCTCTAGAGTTAAACAAACAAAATCACAGAACTCCAAACTCAGAAAGAGGATTTAATGAAAGGTATACATATAATATATTGTAGAAAGGGACAGTTTGTAGGCGGAGTTAATCAAAAATAGGTCAGAAACCGGTAATCTAATTGAAAAATTGAAACTGTTAGAAAATGAAAAATTAATACTTGATTAAAGTTCTCAGTAACTCAAAAAGAATTTATAAGAAATGTAAGAAAAAGTAGACAAGGACGAATAAAGAAGAAATAACATTAATGAAGAATTAGAATAATTAAGGTAGAACTACATTAAAACAAAAAAAGAATATGAAAAATAGAAAGAAGATTTATCAAAAGTCCAAGTTGAACTAAAGAAACAAACAGAAACATTGTAGAAAAAGGATATAGACAAGGAAATTGAGGAAAATGAACTCAAAAATTTAAGGGATCAAGTGACTGATGTTAAAAAGATTTACAAAGAAATTATGGCTAAAAAGGAAGAAAATGAAGATATTAGAGAAAGTAATGAAGCTGAAATAATTAAATTGAAAAATGAGAAGAACAATGCAAGAACTCATTTGAATTAAATAGAAAAGAAAAATAATAATTTAAATAAGAAATTGCTTGATTTATAGAAACAAAGAGATAAAATTATTAAGGATAAAGAGGTTGCAATTAATTCAATTCAATAATTAGATAGACATGTTACAGATACGAAGAAATTTAATGAATAGGATTAGTAGTTACTTGAAGAATTGAGAAAAGCACATATCAATTTTGCTAATCATAAAGCAAAATCTGAAGAATACAATAGTAAATTAAATGAAAAAATTAATTTGATTGATAAGGAGATAGAATCATATGAAAAAGAAATATTATAACTTTAAGAGGAGGTAGATGAAAGAGAAAAGTAATTTGTAATCAATACGAAAAAGAAGGAAAAATTTGGAAAGGATGCTGCTTTAATAAATGCTAAGTTTTTGCATTCTCAAGAGGAGATTAAATTGAAAGATAATTTAATAAGTGAATTCTAAAAGAAGAACATTGAAACAGATAATAAATTAAAATAGCAATAACATTTATATGAGGAAGTAAGATCCGATAGAAACTTGTACTCTAAAAACTTGTTAGAAACATAGGATGAAATTGCTGTCATCAAAAGAAGACATAAAATAGTTTAACATCAAATAGCTTAATTAAAAGAAGAAATTGATGCCAAAGAAGTTGCTCTGGCCAAGGAACATTTTGAGCATAAAAAGAAAGATAAAACTATAGAGGAGTGTTGCAGAATCCTAGAAAAGAACAGAAAGGAGATTGAGGAGAAAGAAGAAACAATCAAGAATTATGTAGGTGAGATATCGAAATTGCATTTTGTTCTAAAAGATAGCGAAATTAAGAGGCAAAAACTTAAAGAGGAATATGAAACAGTAGTTTCTGAAAGGGATATTCTGGGTACTCAATTAATCAGAAGGAATGATGAATCAGCATTATTGTATGAGAAAATCAAGGTGTAATAAGAAACTTTGGCTTATGGAGAATAGTAATATCGAGAGAGATTGAGTGATATTGAATTATTGAAATTCAAGATCTCTGATCTACAAAGAGAACTGAAGATAAAAAGAAAGAAGGCTGGTTAAGCTCCCATTTTAAAGGAAAAGATAAACAATTTATAAAAAGATTTAGTCGAAGAAAAATTGAGAGTAAAAGCATTAAGTGAAGAATTGGAGAATCCATTAAATCCTTAAAGATGCAAAAAGCTAGGAGGAGTAATAATTGATATTAATTATAGAGTGATCCAGATGTATACGAAATGAAATAGAAAATAAAAACTTTGTAAAGAAGACTCATCTATAAAACTGAATAAGTAGTAGAGAAAGAAGTACTAATTCAATAGAAGGAGAAATAAATACTTGAATTGAGGGATATTATGAGGAAGCAACCAGGGTTGGAAGAGGCAACCTAAATCTCAAAATTGTAAGAGTAAATGAAGGCCAAGACTAGACAAATGAAAAGTTTAGCTGCCGAATTAAATATGTATTAGGCTTAGGTATTAGATCTTCTTATTTGTTTATAGATCAACGAATACAAGTATGATATTGAAAGATTAAATAAAGAACTTTAAGAGACTAATAGAAAGTATTTGGAATAGAGAAGGAGGGAGTAGATTCAATAGGAACAACAATAATTAATGGAATAAAATCAATAGAATTAACAACCAGAATGATCATATATTATAATATGTTATATTATCTAAGAAGAGAGAGGCTATTTAAGTTGGTTTTTGATTGAGTTGATAAATAAAAAAATTGAAGTAAATGAGTATGAAACAAGATGAAGCTGCCTAAGGTAACACGCTCTGTGATTCTTTAGTTCGTAAATCGTCCAGATAAAAGAAAATGACAGAGAACTTTAAAGAAATGCTTTAAGAGATCAAGGAATAAAAACCATCTGCAAAGAAATCAGATTAAAAATAGGACAAGTACTAACAAAAAAAAGTATAAGAATAAAAGAAAGGTAGCCTAGTTAATCAGTATCTAGTGTATGAATATGGATTTATGACTGATTGGCTTGATTGCATCTATCCACATGATAATGGATAAACATTCGACTTGGAAATTTAATTCTGTGTGTTAAAGCCAAAAAAACCAACCATTAAAAAGCCTAAAAAGGAATAAACTGAAGAAGGAGTAACCAGTTTCTATAATATTAGATAATGTCTTTAATTCAAAACTTATTAACCAATCTCAATCAAAATCCAGAACAAATGAGAAGATAGAGTGAATAGTAAATTTAGAAAGTCCAAACAACCGATGATGGTATTGTAGTCTATCATCCATACTTTAAGAAAAGTAAAACATAGTTTAATCTAAAGTTGAATACCAAAGCAAGAAACCCCAATAGATTGACTCTATTGAACCAACTATAGAGTTAGAAAATCTTAAATAAAAGTTTGATACTATCAAAAAGACCTTTAGACCCTTAATACTCATCTGATTGGCAATTAAATATATATGACATTATTATTAAAGTAATTCTAGTATTATAAGCTTTCTTAAATCTAAATTCTTATACATCTAGATTAGATTACTAACTTATTCATCATCGATTTATTAACTCTTTATGTTTTTTCATCATAATAATTATATTATTATTTTCAAAATATTAAGAATAATTACATTATTTGTTGCTGCATTTCATAATTAATAAACAAAGAATTAAAGTTAGTATTAACTTTATAAATAAAATTTATTTCTTCAATTTCAAATATGATAATCTCTGATTCTTTTTCTTCTAAAACACTAGGAAACTAAATTTTTGCTAAATAAATTTATTTGGTATCCTCTGAGCATGTATTTTTTATAAATATTCCTTATTCTTCAGAAATATTAGTTATAAAACAATATATATAAGGACTTATTAAATATCTTAACATATTTCATATATCAGGGAGACATAATACAGATTTATAGGCATATTCTTAATCTTAAATATATTTTCTATAATATTTATTTCATGCATCTCCAAACATTTTATCCATGCTTTACTTTTGTTGCTTATGCTTTTCAACTCTAGCTTTATATTATTGTCTAGCAGTTTCAGCAGTTGCAGGGTTTTCTCTGCAATAATCCTTTATAAATTATAATAGATTTTATATACAGTTAAGAATCCTTCTTCAGCTTCTTATATTGGGAGATGCTCATCTATCTCAGATTACAAGGGGAAAATTAATTCATTTATTTCATGCATAGGTAGAATAGCATTTCCAACACCTAAGCATATTCCAATAATGGCTTCAGTTGAGATTGATCCCAAAAATGCATATTCCCACCATAAATTGGTTCCCTTCATTTAAAATAAATGCTTACACAATAAATTGGTAAGACCAACTCTAATTGTTCAATCATTTCTATTGACATTTATGAGCTGTAGTTATATTTAATTGATCTCCTTTTAGAAATGTTAAGTTTTTCAACCCAATAATGAAGTAATAATGCAACGCAAGTAATTATTAATGCCAATGGAATAACAGAAGCATAGAATGCAACTACATACATGTTTTTCAAAATTGTTGCATATGCAACTGATATATCAAAGGCTGGTCTTTCATACAATCTAAATTATTAATTAATAAATAATACTCATGTAATTGCTTCTATGTCTTAACAGATTTATTACCTTTTTTCTTTTCCAAATATTGAAACACCCATTTAGTAACAGTACCAGCATCGATAAATGAAACAACAGCAGGTATGATAGCGTTAAGTACAAAAACATATGATTAATTGTAAACAAGCCCTCCTGTTCCGTATATATTTTTGGTCACCCAAGTACTAATGGCAAATGTTATTACAGCAGTATTGATGAATTATGCTAAGCTTGATTTACTTGCCAAACTAATGTTATATCCAGTTTGAGTTGAAAATCTTTCAAATTAGGATACATTCTTTATGATCATAGCTAATAAAGTATTAATGATAATAATAGAAATGGATGCTACTTAGGCAATTACTTTGACTTTCAAATTAGGAGATAAGTCTCCTTTTTTAATGGCTTCTGCTTATTCCTCTGCACTTTCTGCTTAGATTGCAGATAACCAATAAATAAGTCCTCCACAAATTGCTAAAATGATTGCTGTAATAGAATATCCAAATAATCTTCTTAGAATCTTTGACTTTGTTGAAATATGAAGGTTTTCCCAATATACATCAGTTGGTTCAGGTGGTTCTTCTACAATTAAAGGAACTCCTCTATAGATTAATTTGCTTTTCTTTCCTATTAATCTTTAGAACTTTGAAAGTTTATGTTCATTTAATATTGATTAAGCATCATTCTCCCATTAAAATGTTACAAATGCCTATCCCAAAAAGTAGTTTTTAACATCTTTGCCTTCTATAAATTTTTTTTCTAATTCTTCTAATTAATTTTCAATGACTGATATCTCTGTATTAATTGAAACAAGTGAAGGATCATTTAAAACATCTTAACTTTAAGGTTCTTTACCTAAACCATATAATGTAGAGAGGATCTAATTAAATATATTGAAATACTTTCTGTTTTTATACTATTTTCTATTACTTCTATAGTTCAAGCTAATATTATTCATCCAAGTTATAACATAAGTTAACTGATACTACTCTTTTTAAGTCTGTAACTGGTTTTTTCTATTATATTTAATACTGTTTCCTATCTTGTTCATAATCAACAATTTCAGGTAATTTAGGATATGTTTGCACATATTATTCCATAAAGGTTTTCAAATCCTCATCAAAATCTCCATTTTACAAACCAGTTGGATCAGTTGGAATATTTTTTAATAAAATTGAGAAGTCAGAAGCATACTAAGTTTAAGAATCTATCTCTGCATCAAAAGCTCTTTATTCTTTTCGGAAATATTGGAAGAGTAAAATTAATGTAACCATTGAAATGAGGTTTAACATTTATTACAAATCTATAAATTAATCTCCATTTCTTTTATTTGCAAGGGATGTTGAAGTCGCCCAAGAAAGTTAACAAAACTGTTTCTCGTCTATATCTTTGCCTTAGTGTTCTTTATCCAAAACCTAGCATGACTTACCAAATGCTATATTTGTTATAATATTATAGTCTCCTGATGTTACAAATATAATTAAAAGCATCAAAATACAAGATTTGATGTACTCAAAATATAAGGGCATTCCTAAAATTAAATATTTAAATACCAGCTCCTAAAAATGAATAATCCCTATTGTTACATCCAATAGAAAGTAAATGATTAGGCACCTATCGAGCACAGCAATCACATATTTTTCCAATCAGTTCATTTTCATTGTTATTTGATACAGTTTTTTAATGTTTCTATAGATTACGCTTTTATCGTTTTGATAGCTTTGTTGTACCAACATTCCATGCTTCCTAGTAATTAACAACATAATAATACTCTATGCAATTCTGCCAACTCAAAATTAGGAGGTATTTGATCTATGGGAAAGTCTGCAGCTCCAGCTCCCTTGCCAAGTGCTCCTGCACTTACGTCAACAGCTTTTTCTTGACGATTGCTAACAAATGCTTCCTCATCTTTAAATTTTTAATATCCAGATGGTCTAGCTGACATTAAAAAGAAATATAATATTAAAAAATAAGTTAAATCATTAAAATGGAAATTTTATGAACAGAAACTTTAATTTTTCATTTTAAGAGCCAAAATAAAAGAATTAAATAACTAAGCTATTGAAGGATTATTAGAGTACACAAATATAGTCATCATAATTCTTAAAAATACTGAATATGATGATATTAAAATAAGAGAAGTGCAAGTCTGAATTGATTAACTTAAAAGATGTCACTCTATGAATCTGGTAAATAACGTACTCGAGAAGGATTATCCTTTTAGCAAATAGACCTTTATAAATATATTATTGATGAGCTGAAATAGGAAAACTTAGGTAATAATAATAAGTAAATTTAAATTAAGAACAAAAATCAGAAGAATTTTGAAGGAATGTAATCATCTTTTAATCTATGAGATAAAAATTCGAATCAATGCAATATGCTCATTATAGAAGAAAAGTGTAGTTTAAGTATGAGGAGTACTCATCAAAGCAAATTAATAAATAAACAAAAATATGAAAAATGCTGAATCCTTGTTCAAATAAATAGAAAAATTGAAGAACAATGTTTATAAATCGAAATTCTATTCAAAGTTAAAGCAAAATGATTCTACAAATTTGTAATCACTTTAGTAAAAAACAATTTAATTGGATTCGACTGATATTACAATCAAGCAGTTGAAAATGAAGATCAAAATTGATTAAACGAATATAATATAAAATATGATCAATTATTGATGAACTCGATAATGAAATTTTAAAATATATGACAGAATTACAGGAAACTATACAATTATTATTAATAATAATAATCATAGTGAAAGTTAGATGTATAAATAATAGACAAAGGTACCTAATTCTAGGATTCAAGGCTAATTATAATACTTCCTTCAGAAGAATTAAGAAGTATTATGTTAAGTTTGATAAATAAATAACTTTAAAATAAAATACTAAGCTAAAAGTTGATTTATTTAAGTAATCCATAAGAACTGAAATGTGATATTGTTGAAAAAATATAAAACTCTTTTTTATTTATTCATATAAAGAATTATAAATCTTAAATGTTTAAAATGTTCACGATTACGTGATATCTAGAATTTTGAAAATATTTTACATAAATTATTAAATATTGTTATGAGTTTAAGAGCTAAGAAACCTTTGCAAGCTCGTAAAATCGTATGTCAATACTACCCTCCTGCTTTAGGATTAGTGTATAAGTAAGAATGTTGAACTAAAGAAGACAACCGGACAATAAAACGAAAATGTATAAGATATAATTTAATGAGATGGTTCAAATCAACGATGCTGATAAAATTACATCTTTTTTATTTGATTAGCATCCCTTATATTTTAATGAACAAAATGTTCCATATGAGCAAATACTTGAAATTGTTTAACTCATTCTATCAAATTAAAAACTCATGAAATCAAGTTCTTTATCTTTAAAGAAAAAACAATCCCCATTTACATATAATTAAGCCTTTTCTGATGAAGAGATCGACTTAATTTGAAGTTAATATTTTATATAAACATAATTTTATTAGAAAATATTAATATTTTAAAATACATCAGTTTCATTTATATGATTTAATACTGAGAATAAAGGCACTAAAAATAATTAGATACAAAACAAATTGTATGTGGCAGAAAATATTTATTATTAGTTTTAAACATATAATAAGAATAATAAATTTTGTGTCACTCATTTTTTTTTCATTTTTTCTGCTAATTCTTTTTTTTACATATCAGCTTTTGCTTTCTAGTTAGAATTAATAATTAATTTACCATTTATTCTGTACTCAAACCTTTTCCAATCTCTCTCAATCTATCAGCTGTATATTTGTAACTATCTTCCTCTTTTAATCTTTTATCAATTATCTCAGCAAAAATGACTTAAAATGCATCTGAAATGCCTGTTTATTGTAAAAACTTCTTAAATTAATCCATCTTAAATATGGAATTAAGCATTATACTTATTGTAATTTCTATTCCTCTGTTAATTACTGCACTTAGCTTTTATTGTTAATAACTTTTGATTCATTTTCTTTAATTAGAGAATTATTAGTTTAGGCATTGTCTTACATTATTGGATTTTTATTGCTCATTATATAAATAATATTAATGATAATAAATTTCTCTCTTGAAATAAAAGTCAAGGTTTAATATTTATTATTAAAATTAGTTATTTTCCATAATTTGATATAAGATCAAATTTAAAAGAAATACTATTTTGAAAAATATGAAAAACAATTTGTTTACTAAACTTATTGGTAATTATTAAATTAAATATTAGAAAATGATCATTGATTTCAAGTATGATAAATACTATATTGAGGATTGTCTATTTTGAATAATATATCATATGTTAATTCAAATTGGCTATTTTGATTTGATTTACTTTCTTTATTGTTAAAATTACACTAAAAGTTATTATTCAATCAATTCCCATTCATTTATGTCGACATCCTATAAAAGAGGTGATATTGTCTATATAAATAAGTATGTATACTTGTTGAAATGATTCGAGTGATTACAGAAATTAAGTTTTCATAATCTTTTTAGATTCTTCACTTGGTTTAACCCAAAAAACTTTTTCAACTCCACCAAATTTAATGACTAAATTTATATAAGCACTTACTTTGTTCTTAAAATTATACAAATTGTTAATTATCTTGAAGATCTGAATATTTTTAAACAACAAGTTTAGTGAACTCTTAGAACTCTTAATTATAAGCAGATTAATCTACAAAAGTAATTTTGATATGCATTTCATCCCCATCATTTAATTAAACCAAAATTGAATTATTAAAATCTAATTATTCTCTAAAAACAGGGTTGTATTTAAGTGCCTCACTTTATAAGTTCTATTCTGATTATTCCTCTTCTAAAATGACAACATGTTAATGATCATCCTCTTATTCCTATAAGAATTTATCATTGAGTAATTCTGTAGCGGTTGGTCTTTTTTCTTAATCTTCTAAACATTTTAATATAAAATCTTTTAAATCTTAATTTTAGATTAAATCCAAAGATTTGGGTTTTATTCTGTTCATAACCTTAGTAAATTCTTTAAATTGTTACCTTTTAATAAATTTGATTAGGTGCTGTACATTCCTCATATGGTCTTTTTTGAGTAGCCATCTCTAAGCAAGTCATGCCAAACGCATATATATCAACAGAAGGACCATACTTCTCTTCATATATCTCTGGAGCCATAAATTCAGGTGTTCCTAATACAGATTAGGTGAAATCTGATTATTTTAATTTTATGGCCAAACCAAAATCACCTATTCTGACTTGATTATTGTGAGTGTTAATAAAGATGTTATCACATTTAATATCCCTATGAATCACTGGATAAGGCACGATGCTATGCAAGTATTCTAAGCCCTTCAAAATTTCCCTACACCAATGTTTTAGTATTTTTAATCTAGGTCGCTAAATTTTTCTCAAATGCCTAGGCTCAATTATTTCAATACTTCTTTAGTGATCCTCCGTGAACTATTTCTGTAATGAAAATAACTTCGCTTTTATTCTTGCTTACCCAAGCATTAATAAAGCTTATGATGTTTGGATGCTTAATATTATTGAGTATACTAAGTTCCTCAGATATTCTTTTCCTTTCCTCTTCTAAAATACAAATTTTAATTTATGATACACTGTGGCAATTGATCTAAATGAATCACATTCCAAGCAATCTCACACCCAGATTCTTCATCATATCCTCTATAAACAGTCTTATATGTGCCTTTCCCGATTTGTTCATTAAACTGCCTTTTAGCATTGTTATTTTAATACTCTAATAAAGCGTCCCTTTGGGCTTTTTTCCATTATTTAATCTGGCTCAGATTTCATTTTAAAAATATAAGTGTTTTATTCTGCAAAAATAAAATAAAGACTTTACTTTAAATTAATCAAATAAAAAAAAGCCCCCTGACGGGGTCGAACCGTCGATCTTCTCCTTACTAGGGAGATGCCTTAACCACTTGGCCAAGAGGGCAACCTATTCATTCATGACAATTTAGCCTATTAATTTACATAGTCTAAATCAAATAATTCCCTTTTGACAATATAGATGTCCGTTTCTTTTGCAGCCTATCCTCTGCTCTCTGATAAATTAATTTAATTTAGTATTACTTAGAAATAGCTTTGATGATGAATCCAATTAAGTCATAGAATAATAGACCTTGTTCATACTGCTTAGATTTTTATTTTATTAGAGAAAGCAAGTTTATCAGCAAATTGATAGATTTAATGAGACTTAAAATTTTAATTAAACAATTTGTTATTAAAATTATTAGATTATAAATATTTTTTATTCAAAAAAAAGCCTCTATAATTACAATGAAGATGAAGCTTCAGCTGCATAAAATCAATGTAATTAATAAACCCTCATATTAAATTATTAAATATAAACATGTTTATTTTAATTTATTAATTATTTAAGCAGGTGTTATGGTTTTAAGGATGAATTCCTTATTTTTACCTATCAAAACTTCGAAACAGCAACGCAATTTATGTAGAAACATAATTTAATATAAAAAAATTTCATTTAATTGAAAGTCCTTAGTTAGGCTTAATTTTATTTTAGGCTATCGTATATTTGAGATAATTCTAAAATAAAAGTGAAGAAAATAAAGAATGTCTTATTTTATTGCAAAATTAATGTTAATTTAACATACTTAAGGTGAGTTTAATATTTAATAAATTTATTAGAGCTTATCTATTTGAATTAATTTGCTGTTTATATTCTTTTGTTTTACTAAACTCTAAAGAGCTAAATAAATTGTTTAAGCTAAGTCTCACTATTTCTATTATATTAAATAATGATTTATTAAATTAAAATATAATGTTATCATCACTATTGTTTGTTAATAGTAAAGTGGATAGAAGTATAAATGATCATTCTTCAAAGATAGTACGCTATTAGCTTGAATTATAAAAGGAACAATGAATAAATGCATGAAAATACCTATAATTTGGAGAATTATTTAGGCATCGTTATTTCATTCAGTAATAGTAAATTTGTTTAAATAACTATAAGCCTTGGATTTGTCATCAATTACAAAATAATAAGTCATGTAAATAAATTTATAGAACAATCCATTACCTAATTTTAATCTTAAATAAGTCGATAACTAAAATATCAACAACTAGGTTGTTGAATAATAACTCTCGAAATTATATGAAATTGTAAGGAATACTTTTTATTTAGAAGTTTTTTTCAAAAAAATTCTTAAGCTTCATTACGAATCTGAAAACAAAAAATAAATCGAATTTCAACACACGATTAGAATCATTAAAAAAAATAAATTAAAACAGAATATTTAATTATAAATTGCATATTCAACATTACAAAGTGTTTTTTATAGCTTTATGCTATTCCACCAAAATTTACTTTGTTTCTTGAATTACTTAAAGAATCTAATTATTTTACTGTTTCAAAATGGATTCCATTTATTATGGATCAACTTGACAATTTTTATAATCCTGTTTCAAATTGTTTTAGCAAAATGCATTAATTTCTTTTATTTATTATTAAATTTATGTAAAAGATTTGTAATTTTATTCTGATTAAGGATTTCTACAATTCTTTAGAATACATTTAGAAGCGTTATTTAAACTATAAGTTACGTTAGATTAATAGAACTCTGCATCATTGAGATGGATCTCTGAACAAATATCTTTTAGATTCTATTAATTCAGAGGGTAATGTCCTCCTTACATAATCTCAATGTGGAGGAAGTCTGATCCTACGGAAAAATCTATCTTTCCACTTTATTTACAGATCTATAACAAAGAAATAGATCGCTTTAAAAAAAATTTACGATTTCTTTTTTCTTTCTTTTTCAAGAATTCTTCATCAATCTCAAATGATTGATTATTTTAAACAATTTAATGAGCATCAATTTTACCAATTTTTTAGATCTAAGCTTTCTTTCTTTATTCGGAAGATGTGGAATTTATTTTCATAATTTATTAATAATTTGATGCAAAATTATGAAGATATAAACATTTCATTTATGAATAATAATGCGGTATAAAGTATTTTTAATTAATCAACATCACCATATCCATAATGTTGATAAATAATTATTATGGTAGGTTTTTTTAAATTGATAATAAGTTAAAATTTAGTCATTCATGATTTAAATGTTTATAAAATAAAAACAGCCCGAATAACAGAATTTTCAAGAAGTTAATTAATAAACTTAATAACAAAAATAGATAATTCTTAATAGATAGCTACAAATATATATATCGAATAGATTCGAAATGGATATCAAAATTTCATAAAATCTAATTTAGGGACATTATTTAAATATTATTAATATAATTATAAATATTTTTTGTTTTATTACAATATGAAATCTTATAAAAATAAAACTATATGAAATCATTTTTAATTCATTTATTCATGTTACAAGTTGAGTATAGTCTTAATTTTTGTTAATTATTCCTCCAATGAGAGATTTATCATAGGAAATTCAAGTCTATAGTACTATTTATTTTTAATGTGACTATTTAGCGATTTGCTTATTTCCTTGAATAAGTTATGTGATAAATCGCTTAGGATATTATTAAGAATTGTTTAATTATTATTTTGTTATTAATTTGTTGGCAAAATCGTTTGTGTCGATCTTGTGATCTTGATTTTTCCAGAATTGACATCAATTATTACTTTTAAATTGTTTTAAATAATTTTCCTACCCCTTTTTTTCTGTTTTGATAAGAAATTATCTGTATCACTTAGATAATTTCTGACAATGTGTTTGGCAGAAGAATATTTGATTTTATGTAATAGTGCTGCCTAGAGAATACATTAAATTTAAAACTTAATAAATTGGTAAATGGTCAATAACAACACTATTTATCAGACCAAGTTTTAATTGAGGATCGATGAAATTTCGTTTTTTTATTTTTCTTGTGGGAGTCTCATAATCATTAATCTTTGCTTTTTTTAACATTTTTTTTTAAAAGAAATTTCAAGATTAATATAATAACTGGAAAATGGTTTACGCAATTTCGATATAAAATTTCATCTAATTAGTTCTTTATAATTTCATAAAATCATTATCACATATTAATATTAATCAAATATCTATTTATTTAACAATAACCCGAAGTTTTCTGTATTTTTTCCTCCAAGTTTTCAAAACTAATTTTATTGAAGTATGGCAGCCAATATTAAGAAATATTTACTTGAAATGTTATCTTTATTTTTGAGAAAATAATTATATTTATATAGAAACTGGAAATTAAATCACTAAAAAATGAAAATCTTCTTGATATAACTAATATGATTTTTTAGGGATGTAGTGATTGTGTTCTCAATTAATATAGACATTTTTTCTTTAGCTTAATATTTTGTATTGTTGAATTTTGTTGAAATTTCATATGGAAGAATTCAAAATTGCCAGAATCGATATTTTCAATTTTTCAAGTAGGATTGATGTTTTAATTAAGGCATATGAAAATTACCATGACAGGATAAAAATAATAATACTAATAATATTACCCTTAAAATGATAGTTAACGAACGAACTTTTTTTTTATAAAATCTTTTTCTCTTTTAATTCTTTAATTCTATAATTATAACTATTTATATTTCTCTAATTAAATATTTATTTTTTAATAAAAGCAAGAATCATTAATAATTTTAATGATCATAATCAAATAAAGGTGAAAAAAATTACATTAAGGTATTATTTCATTTGGAAAATCAAATTCTTATCATCCATTGCATAATAATTATTTTTTTGATTATTTCTTCAAAAAAACTAATAATAATTGGTTTCCTAATTATAGCTTTAGGATTAATGTCCATGAATTGAAAATTTGATCTTAAGTTTATTATGATTTAAGTGATAATTTAAAATTTGCTGAAGTCCATTATTTTTGTAGAAGTTCTCTAATTGCAAAATTGTTCATCGGACTAATACTAATAAGTTAATTTTATTTGATAAAAACATCATAAACTTAAAACCAAATGCTGTCTATTCACAAAAATGAAAAGTGATTAAAATAAAAATTATATGAATTTTACAAAAATTGTTTTTAATTTTGCTAAATAGAACTTTAGAATTGTCGAAGCTGAAAAATTAATCTTTGATAAAACAAACAAAAGTCTAATTTATAGATTACACAATGGTGAAGTAAAAATTAGACTTAGATTTAGAACTAATTGTAATGGTGCTTAAGAGGATTAAGTTTTTTCACAGCATTAAATTGTATTCTGGCTTCTTAGGAATACATTTAGCCAAGTAATTTTACAACTCAAAATTAGTTTTTGGAGGATGGAATTGTGCCTCATATACTTTATGCACAGTAGTAGGTTTTGCAGGTTTAATGTTCTTAAAAATATTCTCAAAAAGGACTATTCACGAAGTAAGACTCTTGAAAACAGGTGATTTTGTAGAGATCAAATATTTCAATGCATTTTGGACTCCAAGAATCTAAACTGTTCACGTTAGTGAGTTTGCAAATCTGACAGAATCCTATTTTAGTTATCATAGAGTAGATTTAACAAGTGTTGGCAAGGTTTGGATAAATATTGAGAAGAATGAGTTTGCAGAATAGTTTTAAGATCAAAGTGTTTTAATGTAAATATTATCTGGAGTTCCCATAAAGTTGGATTAATCAAAACATATAAAAAAATAAATTGTTTGAGTCATTATTAAAATTATATATTATATGATCCATTTTCATTTTATTACATTTTAAAATTATCCAAACTCAATCCAAATTTGCCTAATAATGTATTACCTAAATCCTTTAATCCCTTCAAAGCTTCATTCTTTCTTTTATCTTGTAATTCTTAAACTTTTTAATCTAAATCAATGTATTTTTTAATTATTAAATTGTCATTAGGTTATAATTCTTTTAATTTCTTATAATCTAAAGTATATTCTAGAAACAATTACCTTCTAAAGCTTCTTCTAATTTATCTGTTTTTTCATAGCATTCAGCTCTATTCATCAAGGCCTTTACGAATTCAGGGTTGAATTCAAGTGCTTTGGAGCAATGTTCTAAGGCACTTTCAAAATCAGATTGCTTCATAAAACAAATAGCAATATTTGAATTTAAGATGCACAACATATTCAAGTCTTCTAAAGGACAATAATCAATAGCTTCATTGTAGATATCAGCAGCTTCTTCATACTTTAATTGACTGAATAACAACCCTGCCTTGTTTTTTAATTCTAAACATTTTTCTTTTTCCTTCTGAATTTATTCCATTTGCTATTACTATTACTATTATTCTTAATCTTATTCAACATGATAATTGTCTGGATTCTCTTTTTAATCTGTTGATGTGTTGTCCATTATATATTAATTAATAAATTATTTTGTTAAAAGTGAATGTATGATAATTTCGTTATCAATAAATTTGCATGTAAAACATAGAATATGTCAATTCATAATACTAAACCTATCCATCATTTCTATAAATTCATTATAATCAATCTAAAATATATAGATCTAAATTTACCTCTCCATCTCCGTTCTTATCAGCTTCCTTAATCATATCATCCCAATATTTTTCATCAATAATTTTATCAGACTCTAATTATAAATCAATTTAATACTTCCAAGCACCTATTATAACTCTTTTTTATCAATCTTGCCGCTTCCATCCACATCCAACATTTTAAACGCCTAATATAGTTTTTCTTCCTTCATATATAACTATTTCTCCATTGTTGCTGCCAAGAATTCTATTATAATAATGAATATTAAATACCAGTGTAATTAATGTTACCGTTCCCATCAGTATCAATACTTTTTATGACATTGGCCAATTCCTTAGTTTAATCATCACTCATTCCTATTAATCCTTCTCTGATTTCTTCAATTGTCAAAACTCCATCTCCATTCTTATCCAATTATTTAAATAATCTAAATTAATCAATTTCTTACTTTCCTAAATGAGTTATTTCTTATTCATTTAATTGAGAAGCAATAAATGTGAGGGCAACCTTTTTTAATTTATTACTGCCTACGAAATTCTTTAATGCACCATAATTCAATTTGAGTTCTTTATTTGGTTTGTTCTTCTCCTTCATCCATTTATGCTATAAGACTTGTTATGCTTTGAATCTTTTATCTGGAGATGTGATCATATTTGCAATTAAATCTTTTGCTGAATCGCTTACAAATTTAAATTCAGGGATGTCTGTTGTGTATTAGCCTTTTTAAACAGCTTCCAAGATTTCCGGGTCTGTGTCTCCATAAAATGGAGGAACACCAGAAAGTAAAATATATAATATTACTCCTGCAGACCAAATATCACATAATTCGTCATAATTTCCTTTCAAAACTTCTGGGGAAATGTAATAAGGAGTTCCTGCTTTAGTTTTCATTGAAACTTTTTAAGTACCAGGCTTCTAAGGCCCTTCCTCAAAAAGAATGCTCAATCCAAAATCTATAACTTTAAGAGGAGAATCTTCAGCTTTGGTTAAAAACAAAAAGTTTTCTGGCTTTAAATCTCTATGACAAATTCCATTGGAATGACAGTAATTCAATGCCTAATTTTCAGTATGAAAATACTTGCATGATCTAAAGAAAAATTATATGTGCTTCAGCTTCATTGAAATATCCTTTGTCCATGATTCTATCAAATAATTCTCCTCCTTCGCAAAGTCTATTGAAAATTAATTTCAAATTACTCCATGACTAAATATACATTCCTTTAATCTTCAAATGTTTCGTATAACTTAATAATGTTGGGATGATCTAGAGCTCTAAGTATATCGATTTCTCTTTTAAATCTTTCAGGATTTTTGACTTTGGACTTAGGAATCACTTTAACTGCACGTTATTACTTAGAGCCTTTTAATGCTGCTTTGACAACACTCCCATATGTTCCAGACCCAATTACCTAAACGTTATCTAAAATTCAATACTTTTTTGAGATTTATATCATAAAATTATTCTATTTTCCCTTCACAAGACTTAATGAACCATTATTTCTTTAGGAATACGTCTTCTTAATTCATTTATTAATTAAAAAATTTAATATATATCCTGCCATAATTATTTGCTAAACGTGCATCTTTATTAAGCTTAATCTTAATAACCTCTCTAAGACATAAAATATATATTTCAAAGAATAATACTTAACCACAAAAATACCAGAATGTCTTATACATCAAAAACTTAAAAATCAAATCATTAATAATTTAATACTGGGGAAATAATTAATTGAAACTGTTAAAATTGATTACTCATAATTTGATCACATATTAACTAGTCTTCTTACTCACAAAATCAAATTGAAATCACAATAAAGAGAGAACCTCATTTTAATATTGTATGTTTGGAGATAAGGATTTGGATTGAGTTTGTGATATCAAATAATTAAATTAGAATAATAAATCATTATTTAAAATATTTTATGGAAACATATCAATGTAGTAAATATTTTCTGACTCTTTCTTCATACTCTTCGACAATTCTATTATGATATCTCTCATAGTAGAGAACAGCATACCAAATTTTTAGATTTTCAAAAACTTATTCTTTATGAATGAAATCAATGTAGTCTCTTTTAAATTACTTTTTAGAGCTAAACAATTATATGACTAGATTACTATTCAAAATCTTGTTCAGGGTTCTCTTTCTGCATAACTAATGCTGGAATGGCTCTTTCCCTTGCAAATTACCTTATACTTTCAAACTTATTATCTCCAAATCCATTTAATCTAAACGCCTTGTCTTGTCTCTCCAACTATATTATAATAATCAATTCATACTTTTCTGAGATGTGATTTGATTTACCATAAAAGCAAAGACTTTTTTAAATCCTCAAGTGGAAAGGGAAGGAGTGAATTCCAATTTTTTAGAACACTGTTTAAAGGTCTTCTTTCTGGATTTCTTGTTAGCCAATAAAAGAGATTAGTGAAATAGACTGGAAGATTAACAAAAAGTTTAGTGAGTTTCATAATAGTGTAGGTTCCTCTAAAAAACTCCATCCCTAAAAATTTGCATAACTAAACTCTCAATATATTTAATTTACGTGCACCAATTGTTCTGAGTTAAATTCTCTGTAATCCAATTTTGTCATGAAGAGATGGGAGTGTTTTAAAACTAGTTCTTACAGACCCTTAGCATTGTAATCTTGATTGTTTCTTATGTTTTCAATTGAAGGAATGCGTTGTTTCATCAACTGGAATAGATATCTATAAGAATTCATTTGCTTTCTATCTCTTGTAATATATCTCTTCGCCAGTTGATCGTCGAATAAATAGGTAGTAGGAAATGCATTAGGAAACAAATACAAGTAAGGAGGCAAAAGCAACTCCGCCCCAGGGACGATGAGAAAGAAAGAGAAAGGAATGAATTTTACTAAATCTTTTCTGATTCTTGTGATTTCAGATAGCATAAAAGCAGTTTTCTTTTGTGCAATCGTGTACTTTAACATCATTTTAGCATCAACACATTAATCCCATGTGCCCTAACATACAAAATTGTACTCATACTTAATAAAGGATTTCCCAAAACTCATAAAGGAATTTGGTCACTTTGCCTTTTCCCTCAACTTTCTTTTGAAACTTTTCATGATTCAATACTCCAAAGCTGGGTATTTGAGACCTGAAGGTTTTAGAAAGTAATGGACTTTTCAAATTTCTAAAGATCATTTATTTTATTTGTGTTATTTAATAATCACTATTATATTATTATAAATTTAATGTAAATTCGTTAAGAGTAAGAATATATAATCATTTAAGACCAGATCTTGATTGCGAATCAATTAAAAATGCCCTTAGAAACATAAACTAAAGACTCAACAATCTTTAGAAAATAATCCCCCCTGAAATCACTGTAGAGAAGGATCCAAAAATACCCAAATTGAATTTAAAAAAAATAGGAATAATTTCAGAAGAAAATAAATAACTACAAAAAAAAGTGACTGCTAATTTGGGAACTAATAACTAGAACCTTATAGAATAATAAAACAAAGCACCATTTAAAATGAGAAGTTAATCATTCAATCATCATATTGAATCAACATCGCTTGATATCAATTTAAAGGATTTGTATTGTTAAAATGCCTACACTACTCAAGTTTAAATTGGGAAAACTCAACTGAATAATGAATTTGAATTTTAAAAAAGATTTCAAGACATACTCAATAGGTAAAACGATAATAAGGAGAATCTTAAAAGAGAATGTCATTATCTAATGCCACCAACTCATATTGCTTAGCCCTAAGTGCAGCATATCACTCAGCATCATTAATCTAAGATTAATACAACTCCAGTAAAGATCATAACTAAGAAATCACAGCCTAATCCACAAGTTAATCATATTAAAAATTAGCATCCTGTGATTTATCAATAATTATATGTGCAGTAACCCAATTAATAATATGTGAAGTATTAAATTAATAAATCATAGGGTAATATAAAATTATGAATCCTCCAATTACCCAATAATAAAGTAGAGATATGCTCAACATCATAATTCGAGATCTTCATCATTTCATAACTTGGAGAACTATCAAATTGAAAAAATATGAAATTATTAAAATTAATAAATCACTATCATTTTATTTCAGAAGTGTTCCAAGGTTCAATGTCATCAAAATTATTATCAAAAGTCTGAATTCTATCACTTCTTATAATTTAAACTTCATTTGATGCTCTCGCTATGTTGATCCTGTCGAATTTTTTTATTGAAATTTATTTGAACGATTCTTAAAGTTTTCGTGGCGAATTAAATTAGGATTTATTTTGTTGATTAACTTTTGAGGGCATTTTAATCTCAGATTTAATTTGATGATGACGTTTAGATTGATTATTTGTCGAATCCTTTATTTGCCGATAGGTGTTAATTTTCTGACCATTAACATTATGCATAGTGAAAGATGGTTACTATTTTTATTTGGCTTAAATTTCAATTTTATTTTCTAGTAGTGTTTGTAAGTAAGTTTAATAAGCAGTTGGCTTAGGTGTTGGAAACTTTTTAAAATGATCAAAAAATGAAGCTTAAGTAGTTTTAATAAATTTCCTTGGCGAATGATATGTATACTTATTTTGTTTAAGTATTGGAGGAGTATCGGTTTTCACTCTTTAAGAACATTGAGGTTATTCATAATTTTTAATAAATCGCTTGTTGTATTGATAGCAATAATTATTTCTTAATTAAAGGAACTTATCATTCATTTTAAAAAATAAATGTATACAAATATCAGTTCAATTAGCAATAGATACTTAATTTATACAGTAGTTTTGGGCTTCTGTATGGTAGCATGAAATAATAGACTAATTCTAATCTTGAACTTATCTGAAAATGAATTCCTTGAAAATTGGAAGGTATCTTGTAATACCTTTGTCAATCAAATGAGTTAAATAATCGATATAAACATTTTAGCATAAATTAAACAGTATACAGAGAAATTAGCAAAAATTAAGTTTATTATTCTCTTGCATTTTATGTTGAAATTTATAAGAATATATCCTAAATATTAATTAGATTCAAGATAGAATAAAAAGAGAATATTGTATAAAAATATAAACCAGCTTCTTAGGATTGTTAAAATATATGGATTATACTGCTCTTAGATTGTTTACAATATTCTAAGGGATTTAAAATAAATTAGAAAAGGTAGAGGATGAGAAATACTAGTTGGCATTGGAAATGTTACACAAGAAATTGAAATCTAGTTTTTGATTATATTTTTATTATTATTATTAACAGATGGCAGTCAATGATGAAAGATATGTATTCATAGTTGAATGGTTTGACACAAGTGCGTCTTTAATAAGGAGCTACAACCTCACATATTTCATGTCAGACAAGACTATTGAAATGGTAATATTTTAATTAAGGAATCTAGTTTGATTTGAAAAATAAAAGAATATTCTTGAAAAGATGTGAATACCCATCGATATAATTGAAAGATTTGTATGTTGGATCAATTGTGACAGTTTATTCAAGATAATTAAAAATAGTGGATTATGCAGATGTATTTACTAGATCTAAATTCGAAGTATAAAGAGGAAAGTAAATAAATTGTATAAATGTTAGAACATTTGGAATGATTAAGCCAGATGCATATACACATATTGGTAAGATAATAACTGCAGTTGAAAGGAACGGTTTCGTAATTGGTAATTTGAAAATGACAAGAATGTAAATTGGAGATGCTTAGCAATTTTATGGAGAACATAGAGTAAATAAAATATCAATTTGATTAGGGAAAACCTTTTTTTGATGAGCTAACTTAATTCATCTGCAGTGATTTTATTGTAGGTTTGGAATTGATAGCTGATAACAGTGTCAAAAAATGGAGAGATCTCATTGGACCAACTAAATGTCAAGTAGCTAGAGTTGAGGCACCAAATTCAATGAGAGCTCTCTATGGTACAGAAGGAGTTAGAAATGCTTGTCATGGCAGTGATGCTCGTAAGTTACTAATTTTATAATTGTATAGCTGGCTCAGCATAAAGGGAATTGGATTTCTTTTTCTCTGATAAATCTAATCTAAAGTCGACTGCTGTATTTAATAATTGTACTTGTGCCATTATCAAACCCCACATTGTTTTAGAAGGAAGGGCTGGACAAATTATTGACATTATTTTAAGTGAAGGCTTTGAAATATCAGCCATGCAAATGTTCTATTTAGATAGAGCTACAAGTGAAGAATTCTTTGAAGTCTATAAGGTATAAACAACTTATTTATGTTTTAATAAAGGGGGTCTTACCTGAATTCTAAGCTATGTCAGAACATTTAACATCCGGACCTTGTATTGCTATGGAAATTAGACAAGAAAATGCTGTAATATTTAATAATTATTGTTAGGTGAAAGCTTTTAGGGATCTATGCGGACCACATGATCCAGAAATAGCTAAAACTTTGAGACCATAAACAATCAGAGCCAAATTTGGAACTGATAGAGTTAAGAATGCTATACATTGTACTGATCTTCCTGAAGATGGCATACTAGAAGTGGAATATTTCTTTAACATTTTATAATAAAAATGATATAATTGATGGACAATTTATTAATAAATCATTTATAATTAATTGCTTAAATATCATATTTCCATGTATCTATTATATTTCAACTTAAAATAATCACAATAATAGAGTATTTATAAGAAAATGTGATTAATAAAGGCAATAACATATATATATAGATTTATCAGTTTTCATTTTTTTAATTTATTTACACATTCATCAATTTCAGCTATGTATTGCTTAAATTTCTCCCAATTATCTAGTTGCAATGTTATTCCTTTCTTGGTCGGTAACGACTATCCATCTTTGCTAAAGAACTCTCTTAAACTTATCATCACATTCCCTTTGAACTTAGATACAGATACTTTTTTAAATGAAGTTAACTTAAAATTTAGTAAAAAATCAGTATTTACTTCAAAAAAATACTGCCCGTCTTCAAAAGTGTAGTTGTTCTGTTTGTTCTTTTAGACTTACTATTTTTTAGCACTAGAAGATTCTTTGGCATAATTGTTGTCTTCAGATGATGAACGATCTCTCATCTATTTCATTAATTAAGATTTTAAATTAAAATGTATTATCCTTAGCCCTATTACCCTTAAGTATATCCATAATACAGGTATTAACCCTATGGTGTACGTCCATAAGTACCATAGTAATGGAGACCACCTGTTTATAATGCTCCTCAATATCCCTATCCAGGATTAAGAATACCCCCGCCAACTTATCCATACAATCCATACGCTTCATCCATCATACCACCTACATACCAGCCACAACCAATGTTAAGTTAAATTATGGCATCCCCCTAACGATAATTCTAATCTCCCGATCGTTTGAAAGGAGCTTAGTCCCCACCCAGAAATGTGTTGATGCAATCTCAACAAGTGCCCAAATCGCCAGCTCCTCAGTTGCAATCCCCAAATAGATAATTCCTTACATATGAATAAGTACAAGAACGCATTCGTAATGCCTAACAGTAGCAACCTTAACCACCCCAAAATCCAAAATAATGTTTATTGTATATCAATAACCTTAGATTCACCATAACCCAAGCCAAATTAATAAAAACAACAACCTTAGGCTTCTAAATAAAAATAATAGCCAACCTAACCACCAAAGAAAGAAGATGATTTGGATAAGAGATATTAAAATGCTCTCAAAAGCACAGAGGAAATCATCAAAAAGTATACAGTTGATGATTCCGGCAGCAAAGGTCGTTAAACTAATCAAGAAAATCATGAAGAGGAGGATGGCGAACTCTAAGGTACAAACACACATATACAATTTAGAATTGGCATTGTAATATGAGGATGGCTTTATTTATAGAGGATAGGGTTATCCTCCATAAACTAGAAGTGGATTTGGTATTTTAACAGATTCAGATGGACAATAAATATATGCTGGATATTGGAAGGACAACTTATATGATGGATAAGGAAGATTGACAAACCTTCAAACTGAAGAATTGACAGAAGCAATTGATTGGAATAATATGACAACTATTGGCAATGGATGGGCATCTTATGAAGGTATATATACTAGTAAATCTATAGGAAACTTTTCGCAAGGAAAGATGCATGGATAAGGAACACTAATCTTAACAAATAATGAATAATATTTTGGAGAATTTGAAGATGGGATGATACATGGTGATGGAGAATTCACAAATCTTGATGGATAAGTCATCAAAGGCAAATGGGACTAGGGGTACTTAATTTAATTATCAGAATAAGATTGAATCATTAAAATAAATTTTACATATATATAAATTCATCACATCAAGCTCTATGTTTTATTCATTCAAATATCGAAATATTTATTAATTCGAATGATAATTTTTTCAATATCATATTTAAATATAAATATATAAATTCTACAAATATAATGATCTAAATTCTTAACATTTCCACTTATCTACACAAAAATCTGCTTTCACAGTCCTAAACATTTTTATATGAATAAATTTAATGCCTTTTTACATTAATTATTTTAATTATTATGATCGAAATTGATTATAAACGAATTCCTTAATGGCTATAAGAAAGAAACAAATTAAGCTAAGAATGGTCAAAAAAATATAAAGCCCTACAATTAAAACAAATAGAAATTTTAGGAGAAAGCAAAAGCACATACACTTTTCAAGATTGTTCTGAAGAATTAGAAAAATTGAAGAACTCAGATGAGGGGGCACAAAAAACGATATTTGGAGGTTTCTCATCTAAATCCATAAAAACCATGGAGAATTTACTTAAGCTCTATTAAAAAGAAAATCTGCACCTAATAAATATGGGACAGGCTTTAGTATAAGTTTTGACATATGACATGTAAATTTTTATTTTATTTAAGACCAGGAATTAAAAAGTAATTAATATTGAATGATTAATAATTATCATCCACAGAACAAAGGATTATAGATTCTTAAGTCTAAATACAGAATTATAAGTTATAATTTGAAAAGCAATGTAAGAAGTATGGAATTGAAGGCTAAAATATTGAGGAAGAAGTTCCAAATATGATACTCCAAATTCCACCTTTGTTCTAAGAAATCGAATAATTAGCTTTAAATAATCAAACCATTTTAAATAGCATTGAATATTACAGACAGTTTTCTGTCTACACTAATCCCTCTTTGGATAAATCCAACATAATTACACATCTAGAGTCCTTTGTGTTGAAGGGGAATTAGAAACCACTAGATTGGGAAATCATTGAAGCCCCAAAAACAGAAGAGATTGATTGGATGAAATATATCTAACCTTAATAAGTAAATATTCCTGACAGTGAACTATTGAATACATAATTCAGAAGCAATCTTATCATTAATTTAAATGAAGTAATATATATATAATAATACTTTAGTTAATCGGATTTTATCAAGCAAGATTGGAATAATTAAAATAAGATTAAACACTAGTTAATTTTGATGCTCAGAACAAATTATTTGAACTATCATAATAAGAATTATCAAGCTATTTGACTGTCTTGCATTAATTATTAGACAAACTCATTAGTCCTTGGCTTAGATAACTTTTGCAATTGAAATCATCGGTTAAGTAATAATAATATAGTAATCCTAGAACTCAATAAAGAATTATTAAAAATTTGGAAGAATTTGCTATTTCAATTAAAAAGAGTGAATCGAACATTATTCATTCCTAAAATAAAATAGCTGATTTGAAATCTGAATAATTCAAATTATAGAACTAATTAAGAGATTTACAAAGTTAGGTTAGAAAGATGAAATAGTTTACAGAGAAACAATTCACAGATTTATTTAAAACAGAAATCAAATTGATTGGATGTGATTGTTGATAATATAATACAGATATCAATTTTACCAATTAATTTCATGTGGTCTATTTTTAAAAGGGTCTGGACTGAGAGTGATAGCATAAACATCTTTTACATTATTCAAATATATTTGGCCTTATATTAATTATAAATATATTAAGTTGGCTATTATGCAACATACTTCAGATAAAGTAGGGTTGCTATTCATAGGATGTGATATTTGAAATGCCTGATTTACTATATAGTAATTAAAGTACTTTTTAAAATTGATTCAACAATATTTTATTGCTCTTTTAATTGATCAACCACACTTTTCTGCATAAATTCCTATAGCAGAGTACTTTCAATTGATCCATCAAAATTAATAGACTTCTCTTAATCCAAATTTATCTGTATTTATCTATGGCTTCTTATAATCCTGCAATATTTCCTTATCTTACACTTGTGCATAGTAAATCATATTCTTTAAATTAATCAATCAATTCCTTTTTTGGATATCTTCCCATAAACATATTGATAGGAATTAAGTATTTTAATACTTGTTTAGCACATGCTATTCCTTTCTGTGTTCTTGGACATTCTTATAAAACCTGAGTTAAATGTTATGACGCATCTACAAATTTAGAATGAAAGATGAGGATTCTACCCTTATAATAATGATAAGTGACTTAATCCTATTTAGGTGATGTAAAAAGAAGATTTTATTCTTTTTCAACTTTATCACAATCAGCAGCTCTATCAAATTTAAAGCCTTTAAAATAAATCTTCATTTATTAATTGGCATTCAACAATTTAAGTTTTTACATGTTCTTAGTATTAACCTCCCTTCCAATTTCTTAAAATATTTGTAAGCTTTTGCTCTCAAGAGTCTCTTGAGCATGAGAAGCTCTTTTTACAGCTTCAGAATCTTTTGCTTTTCTTTTCATAATCTAAACGATCTTATATTGTTCAGTAACAACTTGCTTACACAAAAATTGAAATATTTATTGACGTTACTCATCTAAAAGCCATTTAGTATTTTTAAAAAGATTTTCAAAATGGTCTATAACATTAGCGCTTCCTCTTTCTCTCTCTACATAATATAAGAGCAAACTGCATAGGAGGTCAACCCATCCTGGATGACTTAAACGAGCGTTTTCATTTAATTTCTTGCATGCTTCTGAATCATTTTCTAATCTCAATTGTTTCAATGTTTATTCTAAATCTAATCCTAATAAACTTTATTCCTTTCCAGCAAATATGCGTTTCAAACAACTCATTGCCTCTAAGCATTTCCCCTCACGAAAATACCTTAAAATTATAAGAAGAGCATTTTCTGATTTTTTGGCAATCATATATTTTATTTAATTAATGGCTGACAAAATTAGGTACACTTTAGAAAAGTTTATTCCTGATCTCCTGGCTCTCTAAAAAAAACAGGTATTCTCTAAGGATGAAGTCAAAGACATTCTCCACAAAAGGGAAGAATTCGAATACATGTTATAGCGTAGAACACACAATCTAAGCAATTACATGTAATTACTTGACTATGAATATGGGTTGGAAAGACTCAGAAGATAACGAAATAAGGAACGTTAAATAAAGAAGGTTACTACTAGGGATTATGCCATTGTGAAAAGAATAATTTATATTTGGGATAGGATCATGAATAAATATCGCTACAATATCGATTTGTGGAAACAATATTTGAGTTTTTGTTATATCATTGAATCCAAGAAACACTTCTTTAAAGTTATTACAAAAGCCTTGAATTTCAATCCATTCAATACTGATCTATGGTTGGCAGGTGCTCTCTTCGAACTAGAAAAAGCTCACAATCCAATTAAAGCAAGGAAAATATTTTACCAGGCTTTGAGAATTAACAATAAAAATGTTGATCTATGGGGAAGTTATTTAGATTTCGAATTGAATCAATTGCACATTGGACAAGAATAGAAGGATGAAATCTAAAATGCTGATGGATTTATGCCATTGAATACAGTGGAACCAATTACTCAAATTAAATCAAAAAAACTTGATGGAATTAAATAGATAATTTAATTAGCATTTGAAAACTGTGATAAAACTGAGTTAAGAAAATTATTCAAAAAGATTTTACTTAGACATAATTAAAATGAATTGGCTGAAGAAGTCTATGAAACAACAACCTAATTAGATAATTCAGAATAAATAACTCAATTTCTTATTGAAAATTAAAATGATCCTGATGTTTTTGATAAGTTAAAAGAACTCAATGTTGATTACTAAAATGAGATATCATAACTATTTAAAGAAAGAGCAGATTCATTGGATAGTTTTTGGTCACTTGCTTTTTCATAGCCAGAATTATAACCGATTCTATTAGCAGAAGTGAAAAATAAATCTATAAAATTAAAAATTTAACTTGTTTAGAAAGGATATTTATAGATTGAGTAAATAAATGTATTAGACATTTCAAAATTAAAGAATAAAAAAGAATTACTTGAAATATTACTTTTATTAGTACATTTATACAAAAAGGAGTTCTCGTTTGATATTGCCAAATAAAGTCTTTTAGGATAAACTGAATTATTTGAGGCATTCTTAGATGAATATTATCCACTTCTTAATTAAGAGGAATAATAATAGCTTCTTAATTGGTTGGAAAAGCAGAAATAATTTTGTCCTTTGAAATATCATAAATTAAGAAAATTAGATTTTGTGCAATTAATTAAATTAACAGAATATCATCCAAATGTAGATACTTGGAAATTTGTCTTAGAATAAACAAAGTAGTAATTTCCTTAAAAGATTACTTAAGTTATGACTAGCATATAATTTTTAGATCCATAAATAAGGAATCAATTGTTAAAATGATTGTGTTATTCTGTTTTTATGTATAAAAATTTAGATATATGTTATTTATAAATAATTTAGAAATCAAAGTGACCGTCATCACTTTATTGATTTAATTTTAGCAGCCAAATATTAAGGAATTGTAAGTCCACTTCTTGGAGTTCTCAAACTATCTCTTAATTGATAGCTAAAATAGAGTTCTGCTCTTGTATATTTGGGTGTTCTTATTTTTTTTGGTTAATCAAAAATATTATGATTCAATTATACATTTGCTTCTTTAAATACATCTGATTTTATGCTAGGGCATCTTTATTTTTCCCTTCTTGAAATAATTAAAGATCTTATTTATTGTTATCTTTCGTCATTTCTAGAAGGTGATGAAAACCTTGGGCATCCTCTGGTTCTATTGCTTTCCTAACAATTGATTTCCATTGACGAATTTTATTCCCCATAAACTATTTTTTTGGACTAATTCAATTTGACTATTGTTTACAAGCATTTATGCCATCATTAAAGGATTGTTTTTTATTTTTCTGGGTTTTATAGTGCAAGGCATTGCTTTATAAAATTTATCAGTGTGAGTATTTTGATATATTTCGAGTTCATTTTTACTTTCCAAACATTCTTGAAATTTCTTAAACAAGGTAGTATCATATAATTCGCTTTTTTATTTGTCCATAAAATTTTAACAGTATTAATATGTTTTTCATTTTTTTATATTCACCTTTAAGTTGCAAGAGACACTTGTATCGATTGTAAAATAATTCCTAAATTTATAATAATGTTTGTTTATAAAGGATTCATAAATTTTATATTTGATATAGTGTATTTTTACTAAACACAAGAAGAAACAAGAGTTATGATTAAAATCTATAAGGTTATTCTCAAAAAAGTATTAGAATCAGAATGAGCTATATGATTATAACAAGTAATTCATATTATAAGAAATATCGAAAGGTAAAAGTTGTGAAGGGTTTTATTATAAATCAGAAGAAAAAACTCTTTATGAAACCGATTATAGCTATTAGGAAATAATTTATTATAAAATATATGCATAAACTGATAATATTATAGTTATAATGACTCCAATAAAATTCAAATCCTAATTGATTATCACAGTAAAATTCATTTTCTGACATTTCAGTTTATTGAATTTATCTTTTTTTATTCTTTTAAATTAAACATCAATAAAATTCATTGTCAAAAGAAATCGAAATTTAAAAATCCAGTAAAAATTCAAAAAATTTATGAAAATTTTCAATTTTATTATTCTTATAGAATGTGTAGATATCCTATTATAAGGCACTTAAAATCATAGTGCATAAGGAATTTAAAGTAATTTTCTTAATCATTAATAGAGTTTAGATAATATATTTCAAATTCTTCTATTTTAATAAAAATAATGAATTCTCAAGTATCAAGCTTGTTAGAAATAATTATTTAAAAGCAGTTCTGTTATCTAAGCATTATTTAATTTATTATTTATCAAAAAGAGAAATAATTGTAAGAAATCTTTTTTCTCAATTTTAGGTTCCCTTAAAAACCATACTATTTTCGATCTAGTTTATAAATGAATGGAAAAATTCTTTAATATTAATTATATTTATTGCATATTACCAGTTATTCAGGGCTTTGAATATAAGAGGAACAGAATTTATTTGAGGAAACCAAAATTAAAATCCGGATGAAGGATTAACCATACGAATTTTCTAAAATAACAAATTTGGAGAGAATAAAAATAAAAAATGTCAAAATATAATTTTTAAATATGTAAATATTACAAAGCAAAAATTAAACTTAAAGAATAGGGTGACCGAGTCGTCAATGAAAAATATAAAAGCTTATTTAATCTTATGTATTTGCTCACATTTGATAATTAATTCTTTAATTTGATACAGGAAAATTTTAAGAAAAAAGGAATAATTTTTAAATTATAAATTTCTTGATAAGTAACTTATTATAATCTAAAAAAAGAAAAGAAAGTTGACACAATAACAAGTTATGTTTATTGTCTATAAAATTACCTATTAGTTATTTATTATTTTCCTAAGTATTTTGGAATAGTTAGTTAATAGCAATCTAGCATTAATATTTATTAATAATACTATTCTATCTGATTTTTAAAGTTTGTAAATGATGTGGATAATTATATATAAGTTTGTAGAACTTATACCTTGAAATAATTGGATGATATTAATAGGGGACAATTTAGAATGCTGCTATATAAATATAATTAATAAATAATTTATTTAATGGGAGCTTGTACATCAACCAAGCAAAAGAGATATGAGATTGTAAGAACATTGATGCCATATAAGTAAAGTTTATCAGTAACGATTTAGAGTTCACATAATGGCAATAATTTGGCCGAAGAATTAGCACAACTTATTTGATTTTGAGTCCAGTTCGTATTGTGTGAAGGAGATAGAAGTTGATTTTTCAGGTAATTTATTATGGGATCTATTATTTTAGCTCAATTAGCAACAGTGGATAAGGAACTTGTGGCTTTGACAAAAAGTGAATGGGCTCGTAACTCGATTGAAATAGCAAATATTACATTAAATGAATAATAAGCTTTTATTAACAGCATATCTTAATAACAAGATCATAAGTTGTGGGCAGTGTTGAAATCAGAGGCCAATTAGTTTTAATCGATAGATGTAAGATGTTTCGTAAGTATAAAGCATTGGGATTTAAAAATTGGAGATATAGTAAAGTTGGGACGAGTAAGGATGCAATTATTAGAATACGCTTTCATGACTCCTTGTGATGAGGCAACCCAGTACCAAGATGAGTAGGAAGAGGATATTTAAACAATTAGTGATGTTGCCAGTTGTAGAATATGCTTTTCAAGTAAGGCAAGTGAGATAAACCCTTTGATAAGTCCATGTAAATGCGAGGGATCAGTAAAATACATTCATTTAGAATGTTTATAAAAATGGATAGGAATTTAACTAAAAATTAAATAAGGTGAGCATTTCATCTAATATCTTTGTAAAAGATTGGATTGTGAAATTTGCAAGTTCACATTTAGAAATACTTACACCTTTTAGGATAAGAGTTATTCAGTTCTCAAATTGCCAAAGCCAAAATCCTCCTATATAACTTTCAAAATCACCAATGATGATAAATCGAAAGAGGCTATGATTTTCGTAGTTGAAATAGGTGAAAAAACTGAATTGAAAATTGTAACAATTGATTCCTAATAAATCTAGGGTAGAATTCCAGACTGTGATATTAAATTGAGGGATATCTCCGTTTCTCGATCCCATGCTATGATGAAATTGATACCAACGAGTAAACACACAGCTGAAAATCCAGATTATATAATTAGAGTTTAGGATTGTAAAAGTAAATTCGGAACATTGGTTTTGGCTCAAGATGAGGATTTGCTTGTAATACCAGAAGATGGAAAATCTCCAATCTTATTTCAAACTGGGAGAGTTCTATTACAATGTGTTCAAAAAAAAAAATTAAATTAAAAACCTGCATACAAACATCCTGAAAATGTAGTGTTGATTTAAATCGAAACAAAACCATAATTAGATCAATAAGAGTAAATGTAAGATTCATTTGTAACTCATGATGAACTTACTGCTGGTGATATTATCATTAGTAATTCTTAAAACCCGCATTAACCTCAACCCAATATGGATGTTAAGGAAGATAGTATCTGCGATGAAAGATGATACAAAGGTTAGTATTATTTCATTGAATTATTTTAATATTTTATATATTTAATTTCATATTTGATTTATATGAAAAAAAAATAATAATAACCTTAATAACCATCATAACCACAATGTCAAACACCAAAATCAAAACATATCATCTAGCCAATCGCATCCCCCAATTCAAATTCGAATTCTTTTTCATAAATATTTCAATCTTATTATCCACGTACTCCTGTTAGAAAAGTAAATCAATAAAAGTAAATTTTGAAATAATCAATTTAGAAAAGATTAGCTTGGTTAAGTAATGGAAAAAGGGGTAACTAAATATGCAGTAGTTACTTAAGTGACTTTTAATTCTACCACTAAATTTAAATCCTTGCCACTCCAAGAACATTTCGCTCAATTTTAAGTTTATGATAAAAGAAATAAAATTGCTGATAATGAATGGAGCCTTTTAAATCTAAAATCATCATCAACCCTCTCAAATAAAACACAATTGTTTTATACCTTAACTAATGTATTTTAAGAATATAAACAAAACCCAAATAATTATTTCATGATTTCAAATGCTGTATTTTTGGCTTTTTTTTCATATTCAAATTAGAAAATACCTTATTGTCTTTTTATCACAAGACAGGATGCTTTAAATAAATAACTGTAGAAGTCATAGTTTTTGGAGTAGAAACAAATTGAATCTACAGTTTTAGGTGTTGAAACTCCATTGTCAGTGTTATTTCCAACTAATCCAACTTAATTCCCTACTAAATACACTTTATCATTAATCTAGAGAAAACACATTCTATACTTATTCAATATTATACTTAATATAGGAATAGAAAAAGAGATTATGGATGTGGCTGCTAATTTTACATTTCATAACTCTTATTTCAATAGTGTTCAAACATATAATGGTGTTGATTAGATTGAAAATGAAACATAAAATCTATTTGATAATAATACAGAGTATAAAATATCATTTGAAGGATTGTTTAACATTCAATAAATTATCGATCTCAAAAATCAACTTTAAAAGAGTAATCCTGACATAGTAGTTTCCGACATTAAATTAAGTCCATTAACAACTCTAATTAATGATAAATTACTTGAATAGATAAATAATGAATTATAATGAATATTTTTATCATTATTATTACTACTTAAATTATTAATCAACATCTTCATCCTATTATTAATTTTCATCCCCTTCATACAATTTTTATTTATTATTTTATTCATCATCATCTTCCTCATCATTTTCTTCTATTTATTCCTCTCTTTCATAATCTTTCTCTGCTTCATCATCATCAATAAATAAACTAGGATCGTAAAAAAATAAAGCTCTTCCTGTCATTTATGAATTATTTCCTGATTATTTTGACCCTAAAATTTATTGTTTTCTAATTTTCTACCTTTTTTCTTCTATTCTTCTAATTTTTATTTCTCAGCTTCTAATTTTTTTCTCTCTGCCCTCTCCTATTTCCACTTTTCGAAAACCTCTTTAGTAATTTTAGTTCCTCCCTTCTATAACTAGGAAATTTATTCATCTATTCTTCTTCTAGATCGCCTTCTTGTCTTTGTTTTGGCTCCTCTTTCTTTCTAAATACATACCCTTAAGGTAGACAATGCTTATAATGGCAGGTCATCCCATTAGGACATACCCATCTCCAACCATATTTACCTTTCTCTAAAGCGTCCAAAAAATAATCGCAAACTTTCACAGATGGAATTTAACTAGGATATATCGTAATACTGAACCTCTTATACGTTTTCTCATTGGCCTCAACTATATCCTTTAAAGTCTTCTCATCCCAATTTTAGCATGTGTCCCATTCATCACCCATTTATTCTCTCTAATCAGTGTATAAATCAAGGATTGCAGTTTTTTTATTCCAAACTCATATCATGAGAATAAATACATTTCTTACCCTTTTAACACAGACCTAGACTTATCATGTCAACCTACCTTATTTGTAATATTCACATAGAATTGATTTTGGATCCACTTCTTCCTCAGATTCTTCTTCCTTTACTTTTTCTACTGTTTTATATAGGGATTGCATTAGTCTCTCTTCCTCTTCCAATTACTTCTCAATCCTTTTTCTTTCATATTCTTCTGATTATAATTTTGACAAAGAAACACCATTATGCTTCACCTATTGTGCTACACCTTTACAAAAACTAAAATCAATAATAGAATTACTTTTGGACTTGTTTACTTTTGTTCTTATTCTTTAAACCAAAAGTTCTATCTTCAATAATTTTTTCTTGTTTTTTTTTTCGCTCTTTTTACTCATCAATCAAATAATTTAAATTTATCAAATATATGAATTTTCTCAATCCTATTTTGAATCAACTCAGAATTATTTCTAAAGCATAATTAGAAAGCAATTAGCACAAATAAAGGTTTTTTAACTTTAAAAGTTTTAAATTAAATTAGAAATTATAATGATTGCAATTACTAAAAAATCCTTCTAGATATAGATTCGATATAAATATATATAATTTACATAGATATAAAAAAATCCAGTTCTTTTCATTATAAAATTTTTTTGAAGGGCATGATGGTGTCTAACTATCTTTTGCTGACTTTAGGACTAAATAAATGTCTGTGTATATTAATAGTAGTTTAGGTACTGAATTGCCTTGTGGAGTTTTCTTTATTATATCTTGTTGTGGTGGTGTTAATGGTTTTCCTATCTGTTAATTGTTTTTTGGAAGAGAAAGATTTCTTATCAATATCAAAGAAAGGAGTAAAGGGCTCTGATAACATTTTTCTATGTTTAGGTGATATGATTCTAGGTAGCATAAGATAGTACCTTTTTTAAAGCAAAGCGTGGCTGAAAAGACTTGAATAATCTTTTTCAAACACTGTTTTATACAATTCAATTGAGGTC